ATACTTGATTTATTTGTTATTTAAAAACTCTCTGGACCTAGTAGTGGAATTTTTTTAATTCAAAATATATGATGGCAAAATGACACCCTATGCTTAAAAAAAAAATCCTATTAAGTTTTTATACCCAAAATATATTGCGATATATATCGTTATCGCCACCCTTCACAATACATATCGTGATATGAATTTTATGCCATATCGCACATTCCTATTGCCATCCAGTGTTTGAAAAAGGTACTACACACAAAAATTAACCAACATTTCTTTTTAAATTTTGACATTACTAATTACTGTCAAATTTCAAACAATATTATCATTTATCGCAATAATTTCTGAGACAATTAATCGCCCAGCAAAATTTGTTATCGTGACAGGCCTATTTATGTATTAATTCTGGTTGTGCTTACTGACCTTGAACTGATTTTATGTGGTTATTGTGAATGAGTTGAATAAAGTTTTGACTTATCTGACTGTTTTGTTTCACTTAATGCACATTATAATCCGGTGCAATTGATAGTCCGAAAAATACTATTGTAAATAACACTCAGGTTAAACTGTAATATAATTCTCTAGTTGCATGAACTCAGATAATCATTGGATTACATCCAACTCTAATTTGGTTGAATTGGATGGAGGCTGCATAATGGCACATCTGGTTAGTGCTGTTGCCACAGAGGAGGTCTTGTATTCAGAACTCATTTGGTGCCTTCTGTGTGGAGTTTGTCTGTTTTTCTTGTGCATGTTTGTATTTTATCTAGTTTTTCCAGTTTCCTCCCACAGTACTGTACAAAAACATTCATGTTAGGTGAACTGGTGATGCTAAATTGACCGTTGCTGTGTGTTCAAAGTATGATGTTTCTTAATAGGACTTTAACTTGCTTGTTACTTTAAGTGTCAAAGTGGCAAATAGTTTATCTTACAAACTGTTTTTTTTTTTTTTTTTCTCCCGCCTTCTTTATGCTCTTGAGCAGCTTTGTTTTGATTTGAACACTGTTTTTCAGTCTGGGGAGGGGGGTGTTACAGCAGCCTCACTTTAAAGAACAAAAATGCTTGGAGGCAGGAAGTGTGGTTACACTTTTGTGACTTGAGCACCGGAAGTTTTACTCCTCCTGTGCGAACGCAGCCGTGTATGACGAGTTCATCGTGCACGAGGAGCTGCAGCTTTTGTGCATTTTAAAGCTGCAGTCTGAGATGACAGTGAGGTCTCTGTGTGTGCACAGTTGTGTCAAAATCAAGATCAGTATCAGTGTGCTTATAGAGCATTGTTATAAAAGTATATTTATGTATTTATATTTGGAGTTATTAGTCATCTTTAGACGTATATTTAGTACATTAGGTATTTTAAGCAAGTTATGAAAGCTTAGGTTAATGGGTTGATTTAACTGACAACTTGATAAAACCACATTCACACATTTTGAAGTTTATTTAAAAAGAACATTTCAATTCAAAGAAAGGTCTTTAAAACCAGAATTTATATGATCTGTGCCTGACGTGTCTTAGTTTAAGTGAATCATTTAGTTACCAAAAGGAAGTGTAATGCAGTACTGTAACTTCATATTCATCCATCCATCAATCCATTGTCTTTGCTTCTTCCTTTTTGTGTTGCGGGGGTCACTGGTGCCCATATCCAGCAGTCACTGTGCTAAAGGCAGGCCCTGGACAGGTCTCCAGTCCATCACAGGGACACATAGAGACAAACGAGACAACCATTCACGCTCACACCTAGAAACAGTTTAGAGTTACCAATCAGCCTAACATGCATGTTTTTGGTCAGTGGAAGGAAACTAGAGTACCAGGAGAAAACCCACGCATGCACGGAGAGAACATACAAACTCCACACAGACAGGTCCCCGGCCAGGATTTGATCCAGCAACCTTCTCGCTGAGAGGCAGCAGCTCTACCAACTGAGCCACCGTGTCTCACTTCTTATACACGCCACTGTAAAAGTATTGAGCAGTGACATCAGTCCTTTATGTTCGACTTCAAACGATGAATATGAGACAAACGAGCAACTTTTCAGCTTTAAAAACAAAATAAAGGTTAATTTGTGTCATCTGGACCAGTTTCTTTAAGTGAGAAATGGTCCATCCAAAGGACTTCTTCAGTCTGCGGCCTGCCAACCAGATCTGTCCCAGAGGTAGTCTTCACTGCTGTTTCAAGCCGACCTCCTGTTGTAATCTCAAAAGTAGACTTTTAACACGTGCAAAACAATCAATCATGTACAACAGGAGGTCGGCTTGAACCACAGCAGTGAAGACTACCTCTGGGACAGATCTGGTTAGCAGGCCGTAGGCCGATAAAGTCCTCTGGATGGGAAACAAAACATTTCTCGCTTAAAGAAACTGGTCCAGATGACACGATTTAACCGTTTTTGTTGTTAACCCTTTTCTTAATTTCAGCTTTTATTGCACATTTGGATCAGGTGCACAGCTTCCACATCTTCTGCTGCTTCTCCGTATTCAGATTGTGGAGGCAACAAGTCCAGAAGAGAACCCAGACGTCCCTCTGCAGTGACACCCTCCAGCTTCTCCTGGGAGACCCTGAGGCATTCCCAGACCAGAGAAGATACACTTTAGTACGTTTTTGTTCTGCCCTGGGGCCTCTGGGGTAGGACGTGCCCATCCAGGAGGCATCCAGATCAGATGACTAAACTACCACAAACGACTCCTTTTGATGTGAAGGTGCAGCAGAAGCTCGTTTCTTCCACGTCCAGACCTCATGAACCATAGGTGAGGGTTGGAACGTCAACAGATCACTTTGTGTTCTAGCTCAGCTCTTCACCATGACCAACCAAAGCAACCCCCTTATTACTGAGGATGAGGCTCCAATCCATCACTCAGGAACAAGACGCCCAGATACGTAAACACCTCGACCTGAGATCTTGCTCTGTCCTGTTGGTAAAGGTTCATTTATGTCTCATCAGTCCAGAAATCTGTCCCAGTGCTTTTCAAGCTCATCTGGACTTTATTCAAATTCCAGTTTGTCCTTTGTATTCGTCTTGTTAACGAGCAGTTTGCGTCTTCTGGTGTAGCCTTGGTGCTTTTGTTGTGGAGGATTGTGAAACTCCTGCTCTCTGGAGGTTGTTGCTCACCTGGAGCCACTTCACGTATAGTTGTTTTAGGAGGTTTGTGTCTGTTCCTGAATACACCGGTGCTTTTGTTCTTCATGACATTTTAAATGGTTTGACCTGCTTTGGTCAATGTTGTCCAATGGTGTTCTCTCCCGTCTCTGCTTATTGATGGTTTGGTTTTAAACCCAGAGACAGGTCTCTGGTTTTCATGTTGGTTCCACCTCTATAGACCATAAATACAGTCTGCACAGGAAAAACCCAAATGTGAAACCAAGAAAGACATTCAGCTCTGTTGTTTGCATGATCAATGTAAAAGAACACGCCCGGGCAACAAATAAAACAAGCGTCAATCTTGTTTGCCTAAAGATATGGCGTTCCATTAAAAATAATGCAATCTTTAATGTTTTATTATTCAATCCAGATGTCAACATGAGGAAATGAAGGCTGAAATATTGCTCTTTTGTCTTATATTTATATTTGATGTCAAACCTAAATGTTTTTGGTTTACAGTAAATGGAAAAGAACGGACCTTACTGCTCCAATACTTTTTAGGGGATTATGTGGTAAATGGGCTACATTGATGTTACGTTTTTATAGACAGTTGACAACTCCAAGTGCTTTACTGTACAAGCCACATCAGCCACTGCTCAGCGTTTCACCCAAAAACACTTACATGTTGGTTAGAGAAGCAGGGATCAACCCGCTCGCCCTCCTGATCCCACCCCCTACGCCATAAATGTATTTCAAGTGATTTATCATCTGGAATTAGACACAGTCTTTGTGCCAATGTGGCCCCTGAGTGATAAATTATTCAAAGGTAGATAATGGCAAATTTCCTCAAAACAAACGTCTCTTGTTGGTTTTCTTCCATTGTTTTCCTCGTGACCTTCTTGCTCTATCGTGTGTTTTATGCTTTTTGAATGGAAGTTTTGTCATTAATTTCCTGGGTTTACAGGCTCGGTCACACAGATGGTCCAGCGCACAGTCGAGCAGATGCATTAAACCACTTAAAGAAGCTAAAATGCTCTGCAGAATTTGAAGTATTTTAATAATTTTGCAATTTTTTTTTAAAGTATTGTTTTGACTTTAAGCCACCCAGCAGCATAAAACCAATGCTTGGCTCCACTAATCACCAGAAACCTGCTTACATGAACAATTGCACACTTTAGATTTTCACTACAAGTGCATCTTCTTCTTCTACTAATAAAAATCATCTCTAAATTCATCATGGCCGGCTAAAAGGTTGTCAACTTTCCAGAGGAGCTGGTGACTCATTCCAGTTTCATACTTGCAGAGTCAGACTCATGCAGTCACATATTCATCATCAGAGTTTAGTATTTCACCCCTATTAATAGTCGACTCCCAGTCGCCTCTAAACCACTGCAACCAACACCTAAACACACACACACACACACATTGCTCTTCAGCTGGACTCAGATATCACATCGACCGCCACCGGTTCACGAGCAGGGGAGGAAGCTTGTTACAGGTTGCTGTGCTGGTTTTGATGGTCCATTACATAAATTTAAAAGATTTTGTTACATTTTTTAAAAAAGTTGATCAGTCTAACAGCTGCTGTTTACACTGAGTAGTTGAGGTTCAGGCTGGTTTGCCGTCTTGCATTTGGTTTAGGTCTGAATAGACAACAGCCTTTTCCTGTCACTTCACACGGCGCTTCTAGAGGTTTATATACGAGGATGCTTTGTTGTTTCTTTTACTTTAAGCTGCGCTTTTGACAGCCAGCTGCAGCAGACAGGATTTCAGCGTTTGCAGACAGATTTTGAGGCTATGGCGTCACAGATGATGAAATATTTGCTTTTTCCTCTTGCAGGTTATTTGATACGTCGAGGGCAGAAAAAAACAAACAAATCAAACTTCCTCTCAGCCTCCTCCCCCTCCCCTGCCAGCCCATCTTTCCTCCGGAGGAACTGGGGTAGCTCGTGTGTGCTGCGGCACAGGAAAGGTGCCCGACAGCAGCGACCTGACAGATTTCACCTCCTCAAACTCATTTACAACAAGGAGCTCGTTGGACAATTTTCCTGCAGATTGTTTGGATATTTGAGCTGAAGTTAGCGAGCATTTAGCAAAAAAATGTCCCCCTTCCTGAGGATTGGGTTCTCCAACTTTGAGATCGATCCTGGTTTGGCTTATTATGAAGAGGTGCTGAACCCTTACTGCGCTGTGTACATGAAGGAGGCCATTGACACAGGTTAGTGATCTTAAATTACTCATCAGAAATGTTATTCAGCTTATTGAATCCTCAAACTAAACCAGTGATGCAACGTTAGATTGATACTCGGCCATCATTAGGAACTGCATCGCAGTCCTGACTTATTATTTACATGTTTTATTGAACATTAAATGCACTAAAGGTCAAGTTTTCTTTGGGATAAATGTATTGATAATCAAATTTTGGTTGTGGGAACAAAATGTCTCATTATTTGCTACATTTTACATTAAAAAAATGTCCAAGTGTCGGTGGTTTCAGTATCAAATGTGATGAGATCTTTAATTTATTAACAGTTAAATTCAATATTTTTTAGTTACTGCTTATTCAGAAGACAAAAAACATGTCCATCTTAAATCTTGCAGACTGGGAAGAGTAAATAATAAAAAAAAAACTCCCAACCGCTTCTTAAAATGAATCTAAAATTAAAACAACTCTCTTCATTGTTGACCTTTACTACGTGGCGTCCCAAACAATGCGCTGCTGTTAGTTTAGAGTTTTATGCATCACAAATAAAACCCACTTCATGTTTTACCAAAACTTTCATGGAAACATAATTCCCCCGCCATCTAAGAAGTGCAGCTCATGATGTTCAGTAAACCAACAGCAGTGGGTGTAGGGAATAGAAATGCAGAAGTTAGATGTATTTTAGTCAGTTCGTATATTGTGATGTGAAAATATCAGCAGCAAGAATAAAACCAGTCAATCTGATTATCGTCAAGAAGCACCTTTAGCAAAAATGCGTTTTTTTTATATTATTTTGCACTTAATGATGTGTATTCCTGTCAAACTAAGGATTGAGACTCCACTTAGCGGCATCCATTATCTGTGTGCACCCATTATCCAATAAAGGCTTTAAATGCATGGATAATTATCATTTTTGTGGTTTTGACCAGAACGAAGTCTCTTACACTGGAGCTGCCAACATGAAGAGAAAATGTATATTTTCTGATTCCTGTTTACTAAATGAGACAACGCTGCACCCTATCCATGAAAGGATGATTTTTAGAGATAAAATTATTGTATTTGTGAGTTAAATTAGTTCATTCTCACGTTAAAAAACGCAGAATGTAGCTTTTGCCAGTTTTCATTATGACTGCATTCAGTAATTGGGCTTTTATTCTGAAATCACTTTGGAAACATACCAGCGTGATATCAGCCATGCAGCTGTTATTTTTGGTCTCCATCGGGCTATCTTTAACCATCGGTGCGTAATAGTACAGGATAAAGTTAAAAACAGAGACGTTACGAGGAAAGAGGAGGGCTCTTTTGTTTCTTTTCCTCTTTGGTGAAACCACAGAACTGAAGCAGCAGAGAAATTAAAGTTTGTGTCTTATTTCCAATCAACTGACTAGACGGTGCAACGTCACTTAGTTTCACTTCACTTTAGCTTCAAGTCTGAATGACTTGAAACTACAGTGGAAAAAAAAATTACAGTTTCTTCTTGTAGACCGTCAGTAAATTGTAATCTTGTTAAGTCAGCCTTATTTACTGGATATGGATTTTGTAACAGTGGAAACGTTAAGAACCTTTAAAATCAGCAGCTAATGATAACGATGATAAACTCCAAGGCTGACAAAGAAAAAAAAAGTACAGTATTTTTTTTAACTATAAGGCGCACTTAAAATCTTAGTTTTCTCAAAAATTGACATTGAGCCTTATAATCAGATGCATCTTATGTATTAATTCTGGTTGAGCTTACTGACCTCAAACTGATTTTTATGTGGAACAACTGAACAATGTGGAGTTATTGTGAATGAGATGAATAAAGTCCAAAATCACGGTTTTGGATCGTTAAAAGCAGTTAAGCTGAGAAGCTAAGCTACAAGCTAAGCTAACAGGTCGACCTCGGAGGGAAAAAAACTTCCGTCTTGTCGAAGCTCCAAAATTCACAGTTGAAACCCGTGCCTTCATGTAAAAAGTTTTTCACTGCAAAAAGAAGCTGAGAACTTGTTTACTGATTTTTTTTTTTAATTAAAAGCTTTGTGTGAAAAATGCTATGCTAAAGAGCTCAAACCACACCGAGCATCCGCCATGTTGAGAACCGAAGAGAGACAATCCATGTCACATCAAGGGGACTCCCTCCCATTTTTCTTAAAGAGACGCAGCTCGCTCCCTCACTATCCATCCTTTGGTTCAAACAGTCTTATACTGCCATCCGGTGGTTGAAAAAGGGTACTACATGCTAAACAAATTAAATATTTCTTCTTAAATTTGACAATAATTAATGATTATTGTCCAATTTCAATTAATATTATCGTTTATCGCAATAATTTCTGAGACAATTAATCGCCCAGCAGAATTTGTTATTGTGACAGGCCTACTTATAATCCAGTGCGCCTTATAGTCCGAAAAATACGGTAGGAAGGATTTTATTTCTTCAGATTAAAAGAATGCAAAACCTTCTGCATGGTTACTTGATTTTGCTGTGCACGGCAAACTTCATTTACTATCTAATAGTTAGTTTTGTTATTACTCGTCTCTTATTTAAGTTAATAAGTTAACCCAAGTCTTGTTGACTCGCTGATTTTACATTATGAAAGAATCTGATTATTGCTGCATAAGAAAAATGTACAGATAAAGTCCTTCTGTGAAAAGAGCGTCTAACGTCTAAATGTCGCTTTCTTAAAAACACAGGAACTGACTGAGAAGTGTCACGCACCCTAAGTATGTCACCTCGTGCTGAGCGATGCTGAAAGGGCGTTGCTCACAATGTGATGCCGCCTGTTTGTCTGCAGAGACACGGACACGTTTTCTCAGTGTGACAGCAGCTGGCAGGGCTGATGGATGCACAGGCAATGATGGAGACAGCCACGGGTCACTTTGACAGTGAAAAGCTTAGCAGGTTTTATTGTTGGAGCGGCAGGATGGCATGTGGCCCTTATGTAAGTGGATCTATGGGGTGGCTTTGCAGAGAAAAAAATAACTGCTTTTATTATAAAGATCTTGTTGTTTTATTTCTCATGTGATGCAACAGAAAATCTCTCAGATCACAGAGACAATGTAACAATCTAACTCTGTTCTTCAGATATGCTGCAAGTCAAACTCCTGTAAGATGAGTGATGACAGGTTTCCTGATAAGCTGCGTGCTGAATTATCTTGGTTTCAAGAGTGAAGTAAATAAATAAATGGTGTACAAGTTAGGGATGCACAATATTATTGGCATGGTATTGGTATCAGCTGATATTAGCAAAAAAGTAAAATATTGGACATCGGCCATTCCGTCAGAATAACATATATATATATATATATATATATATATATATATGTGTGTGTGTGTGTGTGTGTGTGTGTGTGTGTGTGTACTGTATGTACGTATTAAGGCATTTTAAACCCTTCCCACACTCTTGCAATGTTCTAAACAATGTTTCTAAACTCTAAACAAGCACGTAATGTCATGATTTCAGCTCCCTGCCTCCGCTGCTCTCAGCCACCTGCAAGTGTTCTTGGCCACGCCCACTTCTCTGTTCTGCACGGAGAACAGCTGATCAGCTGCAGCAGGAAGTTTATCCTGCAGTATGGGCTGCACAGATGTGCTAATAATTTAAAATAATTTATTTTAAATAAAAACTTCATGCCGATCATGCGGCTCATCCATCAGTCAGCCACTTGTCATGTCCAATCTAATTTTGAAAAACCGCGACAGAGCGGGTCCACAATAAACGAACTGCAAAGTAGCAAGGGACTACTGTGTATTTATATATATATATATATATATATATATATATATATATATATATATATGGTGCTGTTTTTTTATGACAAGGATGCCTGTAGAGCCAGCATGTTATGACATCACACACGCCATTGAGTTTAGATTTGTGAAAATTGAAACATTTTCACTGTTTGAGTGTTGTCATTGTGTTAGAGAGAGTAAATGTCATGAATAAATTTGTCATTAGTCATAATCCAAGTTGTAGTGTTACATCATTGTCAACCCCCTTTTTGGCATCTGCATTTAGTATCAAGCCAAATTGACAAAGACCATGCAGAATAATGTAGTATTTTAATTCCACATCAGAGAAAGCTATGTAGTCTCTGTAGGTCTAGGAAAAAATATTGGTATTGGTATCGGTTATCGACCAAACAAGTTTTAACATATCGGCATATTGGATATCAGCCAAAAATCCAATATCTTGCATCCCTAGTACAAGTATAATGCTGCACAGCACAGTAGAAAAAAAAACACTTAGAAATTTTTAAAAGAGCAACAAAAAAAAGACAAACGCAAAGATGCAAGGATCAAATGCAAGGATTTAAAGGTAATTGTTTTCATTTTGAAGGAGCCTTGTAGTGTTTTTTTTAACAGAGATTTGTAAAAAGTTTCAAGATATTTAGTACATAATTCAAAATATAAGAAACAAAGCATGCTTGTCTTTAGGATAGTCAATCATTTGTGTTGTAGACAAGTTTCTGTGTTTGGTCACTGGAATGCTGGTCGATGATCGGTCTGTTTCTTGTAATACGAAAGCCTTTAAAAGTTAAATTTTGGTCTAATAAAACTAATTTTTATGCAGAATGGCAGGAAAATCTTCCTATTTTCTTGTTTTCCTTTGAAACTTGCAAAATGATACATTGGGAGGATAAGGCTACTGGAAAAGAAATGCCTTTTTTTAAACTTAAAGTTCTCTCTTTGCTCTGTTGTTCTCATTGGCGATGCACAAATATTATAGTGGTGTCATCTGTGTCAGCTGATACAGAAGTTTTATCAGCATCATCCAAGACACAGATGAGGTCAAATTTGGCCAAATTATGCCTCTTTTCCACCATGACATAAAACATTATTCAAGTCTAAAACAAATATCCATCTATTCTATTTTAATTGTTTTTCCATAATTCCAAAATGTATAGAGTTCCATAATAAATCTTCTACAGTCTGATCATTTGTCAGTAAAATTAAAATATACTTTAATATCATGCGTATATTGCTCTAAAAAAAGGTTGAAAATGTGTCTGAAGTGAAAGCAGTTTCAGAAAGGAGGAAATATTTTTCCTTTTTTTTTTAGTAAAACTTAAAAATATAAAATCTGGACTCTTAATAGTTTTTTTGTTGTTGTTGTATTGATGCCAGTGTGACTCTACTGTTGTTTTTGTATTTGTCAGTAAAAGTTTCTGTGGAGTAGAAAATATATTTAAGTTTGTTTAAGTTAAAGATGCACATTGTCAAATAGTGCAGATAAACTTTTCTAGCATCTTGAAAATACTTTTTCCAGAGTAAGAAACATATTTTTGAAGGCAGTACATATTTAGATGACTACTTTTGTTTTGTTTTTTGTAACAAAAATAAAAATAAAAAGGAACATCTTCAGGTGTATGCGTCTTCAGCAATAATTTAATCACTTCTCAGTTTGCATCTTGGTTTAATGTCTAGATACAAAAACAAAAATGAAAAATAGTTATTTCTTGAGAAAACACCCGAAAACCGACCTGCTCCTAAACCTTTTTCTTATCTTTACAGAGAAGGGTCAAGTGTACAAGCAGAAGAAGCCCACCATGTACCCTCCGTGGAGCACCACGTTCGACGCCCACGTCCATCGCGGGCGCATCATGCACGTGATGGTGAAAGACCGAACAGCAGAGCTCAAATCAGAGGCCACAGTCGCTTTAGACTCGCTAGCAACGCGCTGCAAAAAGGAGAACGGCAAACTGGAGATTTGGGTTAGTGCAGCAGAACCTGAGTGTTTAAGCTCTAATGTTGTTTAAAATAAGTCCACACACGTTAGCTCATTTTGGGCTCAAAAGGTCAAATGAGTGAAGCGGGAAATTCTCCTTTTAGCATTAAAAACCGCTGACTGCTGACATTTTTTGAGTGCAGTGTCAACATTGTCACCTGCTCTGTACTGCACATGGTTTTAATAAAACTGGAACCTCAAAACACAGAGTAAACTTTAATGACAGCTCTCTTCAAAGGCCTGATGGGAAATCTTCTCAAGGCAGCCTGTGAGAATCACAAACTTCTGCTTCTGCTGTGAGTGTTGTATCAGGGATTTCCACAAATAGCTTACCATAGAGCATTTCAAAGTGCTCTTTATATAACGTACTTTCCTTCCATACAGACACCTCTCATTAGGCCTGTCACGATAACTAAATTCTGCTGGGCGATTAATTGTCTCAGAAATTATTGCGATAAACGATAATATTGTTTGAAATTTGACAATAATTGTCAAAATTTAGAAGAAATGTTGATTTGTTTGGAGTGTAGTACCTTGATGGCACTATAAGACTGTTTGAACCAAAGGCTGTATAGTTGAGCAACGTGTCTCTTTAAGAAAAATGACAGGGTGGGCTCTTGACGTGACATGGGCTGACATGGTGACATGGCAAACGCTCGGTGATTTGAACTCTTTAGCATAGCATTTTTCACACAAAGCTTTTAATAAAAAAATCAGTAAACAAGTTCTCAGCTTCTTTTTGCAGAGAAATGCAACTTTTTACACGAAGGCACGGGTTTCAACCGTGAATTTTGGAGCTTCGACAAGACGGAGGTTCATTCCCGAGGTCGGCCTGTTAGCTTAGCTTCTCAACTTAGCTGCTTTTAACGATCTAAAAACGCACTTTTGGACAGTTAAAACGAATTTCAATTCAGTTTATTTATATAGCGCCAAATAACAACAAAGTTGTCTCAGGGCACTTTACAGGAACATTCACATACATAAAAGCCAATTAGTAAAGTTCTTTATCTAAGGATTTTTAAGATAAAAGAGAGAGGGAGGGGTCAGTGAAGATCACCGGAGTTGAGCTTTACATCATCCAGTGTCTTCAGTAGAAAGAGAGACACGAAGAAACGATAAAGCCAATAAATGAAAATGAGGTTGATAATTTTCATTCATCATGCGATTAATTGATTATTGAATTATTGTTTATCGCGACAGGCCTACCTCTCATTGCTCTCCACTGCTGCTGTGGATCATGACTGTTTCCACGCTGCTGATTTGAATCAAACATGCAGGTCTTTAAGCTTCAGTATGTTTTGTGAACCAGCCATTCATGCTTTGAGTTCTTCAATGTATCATCCTCTTCTTTCTGTCATGGCAGTTAGCAAACCAGTTAAATAATACATTCTCTCACTTGTAGATGAGAGCAGTGTTCACATGTGACTGATGTATTTGTTGTGTGCCTAAATGTACCAGTCTCAAACATCTGTACTGTGATAGTTCAGTATTAACACCCCCTAATAAACAGTGGTGGCCGATCCATAAGGGCAGGTGCACCTAAAGAATTAATTTGCCCCATAAAGTAGTTCCTCCTAATAAATGTAAAATTACTTATTTACTGAGCTGACCATGTATTGTTTTGATCTGTGTGTTTTTCAACTATTTAGACAAGTTTAAATTTAGTAATTCATGCTCAGTTTTTTCTTAGTTACTGATATGGGGCGGCACCGACCTGCAATCATCAAGTGAATAGACAGGACATTCTTAGTTTGCACATATCCCAGGAAAAATTTGATGTCGGCCTGCTTCGAGATCAAACGGGAGAGTCAGATTCAGATAAGCCACAGTTGTTGATTTTTTTTTCAGGCAGACTGTTATTTCTCATCAGCCTTGAGTTCCAATGGCCAGATATGTGGACATTCCACTGGTCCATGCTTATTAGCTCCCTCCAAGGTCGTCCCCAACATGAGTTCCAGAAGCCGCAAGTGGTCCGCAATTCTCACAAATTGCTTCCATCTTACAGTTTAGCTCGTATATCAGCTGATTTTGAGTGCTCGAAGCACGAACCAAACACAGGGTCGACAGCTTTGCCATGGCCGAAACTGCTGCCGCCATCTTTTTTAAAAGCCGATAGCTGATAACATAGGGATCCGCCGGGGCCAAAAAGCAGAAACCCTGCTGTCATGATTCCAATATCTTTGGCATCCTCCTGAGACAATACGGAAAGATATCCTGCCGCGTGCGTCTCAGCGGGGCATGAGGACTCTTAGGACCCTGTCGCTTTGTTAAAAAAAATGTTTATCGATTGCGTTGAAATTCCAGCTGGCCAGATCCATGACAGTAGTTTACGTTTCGGAAGATGTGTAAATAGAAGCTCTGATACACAAGACAGAGCAAAAAAGTAGGAGGAGGACAGGAGAGGGAAGAAATGTGTCCGTCTTGCACGAGAGCGAGTATAAAAGAGAACAGAAAATTGAGGAGGACAGGAGATACAACTATCAAAAACTGGGACCATTTTGCCAACATGGATTTTTCAGCAGCATTTTTTAAGCAGCTCTGTGGTGTGTTTGGTTAAATCAGTGGTCTTGAAGTCAAAAGGCTGTGGGGTTGATCCCTTCTTGGTATGTATATTTGAATCGGTTATCATATATTCCAACATGAATTTTTCTTTTTATATTTCTTTAGTTATTTCACCAAACTTTTTTCTCCCATTTAACTGTCAATCGGTTTATTATTTCCGAATTATTACTTCAAACAAAATTAGAAACCAATCCAGAAAGCTGTATACCTGTCTGTTATTTTTACACAGATGAAAGTAAAAACACTCCTGTTTCAGATTGAGGTGGGCGTGGAAGTTGTTTGTTTCTTTGGTTTATTGAATGGGCCTGTTTTTCACGAGACACAACTTTGTCTTGTGGGAGGAAGAAAAAAGTAAATGTACCATTTTTTTCCCATTATTTATTTATTTTTATTATTTATATATTTTTTTAATTTTGTTTTTTATGACGTGTGCTGTTGCTGCCTGTTCTTGGCCAGGTCACTCTTGTGAAAGAGGTCTTGATCTCAATGGGTTTTTATCTGGTTAAATAAAGGTTTAATAAAAAATAAAAAACACAAATTTAATATTAAACAACATATGTATATCCTTTTTTCACAGAAAATGTAAGTTTATTTTAAAAAAATGTGTGGTTAGTGATTCAGAAAATTAATGTCCACCCCACTGCTAATAAATACAGTATATTTATGCTGAAGGTAAAAATAATTAGAATTGTAATGAACGACGGTCATTAAAGTAGACAAAAAGATTGAAGTGAAATTACAAGCACAGACTGACTTCCTATTAGTCTCTTGCACAAATAAAACATCTACCTTCCTTCTCAGCATCATGTCAGTCAGCTCCCTACCTTTAGAGTCCTCCACCTTTAACTCTCTTCTTCTCCCTCTGTCTATATGGCTCATTTCCCTCCTTGTGGTCTACGACTAACAGTTGCACAACTTCTGCCAGAACCCTGTTTGTCAACAGCACCGATGGTGGTCGTTGTTAACCAAGGCCTTGACCGATCTGATGTGGTGTCGCTTGGATGAACTTGCATATTAGTTTTGGCAAGTGTTTTATGTCAGACACCTTTCCTGACACAGTCTTCTCCATTTACCCGGGCTTGGGACCGGCACAAGTGATCCAATGACCTGTGCTCCCTAATAGCTGGTTTGATATGTTAAATGTATATTCCAAGTTAATCCCTGTTCCCCAGTTCCTATTATTTATTTTTTCTAATGAAGCTGAAGTGTAGATGAATTTGTGAAACGGCATTCAGGGAAGGAGAAAGCTGTTCTCACATGTAAATGTGTTCAGCATCCATTATTAAATCTGTGTTCAGTCCAGTCGCACAGCTTTTTTAAATGTACTTCTATCCAGTAAAGAGAAAATTAAATGATTTCCTGTGCAGTGGAGATAGTCATTTCTGTGGAAAGACTTGGCTTTGGATTACATTAATGACTTCATGCCAACTGTCTTTTCTTCCTGTGAATCAAATAAACAAATACTGTAAATAGACGACTAAAATCAAATATTTTTCTTCGATCTGCTCCTCCTGTGAGTTTGTTTCTGCCAGGCAGTGAGTCTGTCTCTGTGTATCGAACCAGCGTGTCGCCTGTGCATCGTCATTCACCCTAATCTGCATCCTTCCCTTTTTTTATTCCCTGTAATTTTTTTAGTACACTTCCACCCTGAAATATAATTTTTGTTTTGTGTCTTCTTTTTTCGTTCCCGTGTTTCATTTTGTCCCAGTTGGAGATGAAGCCACAGGGTCGCCTGTTGATGGAAGCTAGATACTATTTGGAGAAAAGTGGTGAGTGAGCCTATTTATTATTATTATTATTATTATTATTAATAATACACTGAGCAAAAATTAAAACGCAACGTTTTTGTTTTTGCTCCCATTTTTCTTGAGCTGAACTCAAAGATCCAAGACTTTTTCTATGTACACAATAGCTCTTCTTCTCTCAAATATTGTTCACATATGTAAATACGTGTCCTTTGTATAGAGTTGATCATGTTGTTGAATGTTGGTCCACTCCTCTTCAATGGCTGTGTGAAGTTGCTGGATATTGCCAGGAACTGGAACACGCTGTCGTATACACCGATCCAGAGAATCCCAAACATGCTCTATGGGTGACATGTCCGGTGAATATGCTGGTCGTGCAAGAACTGGGATGTTTTCAGCTTCCAGGAACTGTGTACAGATTCTTGCAACATGGAGCCGTGCATTGTCATGCTGCAACATGAGGTGATGGTCGGGGGTGAATGGCACAACAACGGGCCTCAGTATCTCATCACTGTAGCTCTGTGCATTCAAAATGCATCAATAAAATGCACCGGTGTTTGTTCTCCTTACCATACGCCTGCCCATACCATAACTGCATCGCTACCATGGGCCACTCAATTCAAACGTTGACATCAGCAAACCACAAAAATGCCATACATGCAGTCTACCATCTCACTGAAAACCAGGATTCATCCATGAAGAGAACACCTCTCCAATCTATTATACTCCATCGAATGTGAGCATTTGCCCACTCAAGTCAGTTATGATGACGAACTGCAGTCAGGTGGAGACCCCGATGAGGACAACGAGCATGCAGGAGAGCTTCCCTGACACATTTTCTGACAGGTTGTGCAGATATTCGTTGGTTATGCAAACCGATTGTTGCAGCAGCTGTCCAGGTGGCTGGTCTCAGACAATCTTGGAGGTGAAGATGCTGGATGTGGAGGTCCAAGGCTGGTGTGGTTACATGTAGTCTGCAGTTGTGAGGCCGGTTGGATGTACTGCCAAATTATCTGAAACACTTTGGAGACGGCTTATGGTAGAGAAATGAACCTTCATGGAATAAACTGGAAATAGGCAAAACCTGGAAGAGGATTGCTCATGGGATTTGTAGTCCTTTTATTTTTGTCTATCTTGGAAATGGTTATCAAATGAGAGAATGAGGTTGAGAAGCTCCATGCGGTGAACATTGAGGCACAGGCGAACCGAACTCATGAGGAACAATTTGAGGCACAAGTTTCCACAACGATGCAACACCCAGCACTGCCATTTGATCTGCCTTCAGTGTTTATGACCCTGGTTCATCGAGGCAGCCACTGTGGTAGATGACACACACCTGTCGCTCATGAGCTGTGAACAAGTGGTTAGTGATGGTAGAGGACAACCAGGAACTGGAATCCTAACAGATTGTGGATAAAATTAGAACCATCACTCCACCATCATGGACAAGCAAAAAATACTGTAAATATAAAAACCTACCGGTACCTGTTTTTTTTACACAGCGCGACTCCTACCAACCTGAAAATCTTGGACCAAAACATTAAGGTTTACTTGCATTTCCTGTTCAGTTCCAGCCCAGAAAAACACTAATCTCATAAACTACAAACATTCACTATTTAAAACCCTCAGTGACAGGGGGGACATCGGCGTACTGCTCGTTCACTTTAATCATGGTGGTGTAACTCTTTGTATTTAGAGAGTACTTTAGTGAAGTTTTGCAGTAAATCACTTGTAAAGTGTTAGATAAATAAAGCTGACACTGCATGTGATAATTACTAGGGATGCACGGATCCACTTATTTTTTTTTTTACTTCCGGTACCGATATTCTCGTTCGATATCGATCCGATATCGATCTGATACAGAAAAAACTGTGCTGAATTAACAAAAAATGGCTAAATCATGTCATCTGGCCCCGTTTCTGAAACAAGTCGAGATGACAATTTAGCCATTTTTGTTGTCTACCTGGATGATTGAGATTACAAACCCAGTGCTGAATTAACTTAAAACTCCATTTTGAAAACAATCTGCAGCGAGTCCGCTAGCGCGTGATGTCACTCAGAGCACAAAGCATAGAATTAGAGTGAATAGATCTGCCCAGTCATGGATCGGTCACATTGTCACTGATACCCAATTCAGAAGTTTTTCCCGATATCAGGCCCGATACCGATATTGGCATCTCTAATAATTACAATATGTTGCAATATATTACAAAGCAAAATGATCCTGTGATAGTAAATTGGTGGTTTCCCAATAACTTTACATGATCCATAAATAAATTGAAATGTTAATTTAATTAACAGAATTTGAAACAATCCACCAGCATGATCAAACATTAGTTAAATATAGTAACTATAACTGCATCCAATTAGCCTGGACCAGCTGCTGCCTGTTGTTTTCATCACACCTCTCGGTCCATCTTATTACATTTTCTCACGTGTTCGATAAGACCTTTGACCTTCTGCCACCTGCTGCTTTGACGCTCTGTGAGTGGTTATTTGAGCTCTTTGTGTTTTTCACCAGTGCTTTCCTGGCATTAACGTCGAGCCAAAGGCCTGAAAAGTCACCGAGAACTAAAAGAAGAAACCGTCTATATATAGGAAATATGAAATCAGCGCTGAGAACAACAGGTGGCATGGGAACAGCGCTCTGTCAGGTCGAAGCAGCACCACTTCCTCCTACGTGTAAATGTTGACGGCAAAAATAAACACGATGTGCTGTCGTAACTAAATGGAAGTGTCAAGCTGGCACTGAATCATTTTAAGTACATGTAAATGTTAATATTGGAGTGATTTATTTTAGGTGTACCTAATTTTTTCTCCTAAAGGTTTGTGAACAAGTCTATAGCCTCCTCTTTTATTTTTTGCTTTTGTGTTTAAAAATGTCTTCAAATGTCGTCTTGATTAGTAGTTTTGTGGATTAAAAAAAACAAAAGTGTTTTTATTATTATTATGGGAAAACTTCACATACAGTACAAATGGGCTGAAGGAGGAAGCTTGTCAGGTCCTGCAGAAGTTTTTCTCTCTGCTATGACAATTAAAGCTGCTCATCAGCTAAAGATGGATTTTAATACCCGACATTCTTCTTTTTCTCCTCAACTTGTCCACTTTTTTTCAGTTTGTAATCACACCCTGCACAACATACTGAGAAATGTCAAGTTTCGGCTGATAGCTGAGTAAATAAACAGGCAAAGTCCAAAATGTTATTTTGAAACATCTTCAGAAAACCTGAAAAAAACACAGATCAAGATCATTTAGCTAGTCTATAAGAGAAGTCAGTCTCCTCTAAAGTAAAATGAACTAAATCTGCCTGCTGAAAACTTTTTCACTGTTCACCTGCTACTCTTGGGTCAAATACCCACAAGCCCTCAGGTTTAGAACTCAGGCCTCAGGGTCATTTTGACCCAAGGGCAGCAGGAGGCTTAGAAAACTGCACAGCACTGAACAGGAACGATCCAGATGTCACATTTGTTTCTACTTTTCTTTTCCTATAGCAACTAATTCATTATATGCAAGTACTGTGTATATATATGTACTTTGTATATATATTCTTTATATTTTTATTATACAGTGTCTGTGTGAAACAACAGAGTTCCCCCTGCTCTACACAGCGCATCAGCAAAAGTAAAAAAAAACAACATACTTTTGTATTATAATAAATACGAGGTTTGAAGAGGAACCGAACACGTTTCAAGTTCATGATGATTCAGCGAAGTAGAGCTACTCACCATCATGTCTTCATCACGCGGGTTAACGCAACTCCGTGTCACAAAGTTGGTGTAATGTTTGTGTGTAAACACAAAACATGCTTAAAATGGAATCATCTGTAAAATAACTAGAAACGTAATTTCCTGTGAACATGCAGTGTGAACGCCTACTGCTGAAGGAGTTTGGCTGAAAGCTGCTGAAGAAGCTGAAACCAGCTTAAATTATTTTTTATTTCTAAAGTGGCAATGTGGATAAAATTGAACAGCTGACATTTCAAGTTCAAGTCAAGGTTCTTTATTGTCATTCACATCCCATGTGGTACATGAGGTGGAACAAAATTGTGTACACAGGGTCCCAGTTACATCCACATATATAAAGTGTAAAAAGAAACACAACTGTTTTTCCCCCCACTAGATGCTTTTGTTGTGGGAATCAGTTCTGTTGGGTGGCTCCTCAAATCAAAGAAGTCCTTTGGATGAAGGATGAAACATCTCAGCTTAAAAAAGAAACCGTCCAGATGACCTGACTGAACATTGCTGGATTTTATACTTGAATTATTGAGCATGAACTTTGGTGTTTGGTATAAAAGAAACAGTATACAAGGATCTACAATATACACTAGACACTAACAATGTAAAATAATATGGTATAATAAACGGTATTTTAAAACAGCAGCCCGAACATGAGTCTGTAGTGAGCAAATGGGTATGAATTTATTTGAAAGCAGGAAAACAAAAGAAGAAAGCAAAAGAAAAATGGCTGAAAAAGCTGAATAGTGCAGAAATGTACTTTGTAGCAGAAATAAGTGGAATAAGCTGAAATAGACCGGGAGAGACTGAATAGTTTTTTTTTTAAAATCTGCCATTAGCAAATAAGAACCTGAAATGAGCAGAGAAAAGCTAAAATAAGCAAAAATGAAGCTGACAAGGCTAAAAGAAAACGCTGAAACTAGTGGAGAGGCCGAAAAAAGCACAAATCGTTGAAATTAATACAAAGAAGCACAAATAGTTGAAATTAATACAAAGAAGCACAAATAGTTGAAATTAATACAAAGAAGCACAAATAGTTGAAATTAATACAAAGAAGCACAAATAGTTGAAATTAATACAAAGAAGCACAAAAGGCAGAAATTAGCTAAATAAATATAAGGAAAAAAAAGGCTAAAATTAGCAACCAAAATAAGTACTGGTAGTTGGAAAAACGTAGAAAAATAAAATAAGAAAAACTCTGAAAGGCGCAGAAAAGTTAAATATTTTATAAAGTATAAATCGCCCAACTTTTTTGTGACAAACAGATTTGATGTATTTGAGTTTAAAGTGAGTAGCACAGCAGCTTAGTGGTTATCACTGTTGCCTCACGGCAAGAAGGTCCTGGGTTCAATCCCCGGTTTGGACCTGGGGTCTTTCTGTGTGGAGTTTGAGTGTTCTCCTGCTTGTGTTGGTTTTTTATGTTATGTTAGTCTGCCTTCAGGCTCAGGCCTCCCTTGTAAAGAGATCTGTGGTTAAATAAATCAGCTGGTGCTTTAGTTTCCATTTGTGATGTTGATCTGACAGCTCTTTGTCTGACTGTAGTGAAACAGACAAGTAGAAAACGCTTCAAACAGGAGAGAAACTGAAATGTTTCATGAGAAATTGTAATCATCGTGTACAGAAGAAGTTCTTGCTCTGCGGGTCGTTTCAGATGCTGGAGGTCAGACTGATGCCGACCTGGAGACTGAGCGGGTGAGAGACGGTCTGTTCACGCTGCATCAGCGACGCGGCGCCATCAAACAGGCCAAAGTTCACGTTGTCAAGTGTCATGAGTTCAGCGCCACGTTCTTCCCTCAACCAACGTTCTGCTCCGTCTGCAAAGAGTTCGTCTGGTACGGCTGTGATGTCCTGATGCAACAAAGTCATTTTTCTAATTTTCCCATTAGTCACTTGATGTGCTTCTCTCATCTGCAGGGGGCTCAACAAGCAGGGTTACCAGTGCAGACGTGAGGGTTTATTTTTCCTTAAGATGCCAAAAAGACAGATTTCATTGAAGCCTGTGTCCAGAGTCTAACTCTGTTTTCTGTTTTCTAGAGTGCAATGCTGCTATCCACAAAAAGTGCATTGATAAAGTCATCGCCAAATGCACAGGGTCGGCCATAAACAGCAAAGAAACCATGGTGAGTGTATCATGCTGTCAGAATATAATGAAAATTAACTTCCTAATGCAGCATGTGTATGCTTTTACTTCTAAAACTTCAGACGTTCCCCCGTTTCAACACTTTTTTCTTCTCGCTCTTGTTTTTTCATCACCTCGTGGTTTCTGAGTTCATGAGACTAACATTACACAACATTAACAACTGTAAAATCCTCGCAGTGTAGAAGATAAAAGCAGCTGCGCTGCCTGCTGTCGGCTCTACAGCATGGATTTATTTAGCTTTTTTCACTTCATCGGCCAAATGCTTCAAAGCCTGTGCAGTTTTCTAAATAAAACCACATATCCATTCATTCATTCATTCATTCATTCATTCATTCTTTATTTATACAGGTTAGTCTCACTGAGCCTCGATGACTCATTTACAAGAGACCTGTTTTTAACAAAGAACACAGATGACAACAGTAGACAATCATAAAAGAAAAAAAAATATATATATATAAAATATATATAGTATGTACAGGTCCTTCTCAAAAAATTAGCATATTGTGATAAAGGTCATTATTTTCCATAATGTAATGATAAAATGAAACTTTCATATATTTCAGATTCATTGCACAACAACTGAAATATTTCAGGTCTTTAATTGTTTTAATACTGATGATTATGGCATACAGCTCATGAAAACCCAAAATGCCTGTCCCAAAAAATTAGCATATCATGAAAAGGTTCTCTAAACAAGCTATTAACCTAACCATCTGAATCAACGACGTAACTCTAAACACCTGCAAAAGATTCCTGAGGCTTTTAAAAACTCCCAGCCTTGTTCATTACTCAAAACCGCAATCATGGGTAAGACTGCCGACCTGACTGCTGTCCAGAAGGCCATCATTGACACCCTCAAGCAAGAGGGTAAGACACAGAAAGAAATTGCTGAACGAATAGGCTGTTCCCAGAGTGCTGTATCAAGGCACCTCAGTGGGAAGTCTGTGGGAAGGGAAAAGTGTGGCAGAAAACGCTGCACAACGAGAAGAGGTGACCGGACCCTGAGGAGGATTGTGGAGAAGGGCCGATTCCAGACCTTGGGGGACCTGCGGAAGCAGTGGACTGAGTCTGGAGTAGAAACATCCAGAGCCACCGTGCACAGGCGTGTGCAGGAAATGGGCTACAGGTGCCGCATTCCCCAGATCAAGCCACTTTTGAACCAGAAACAGCGGCAGAAGCGCCTGACCTGGGCTACAGAGAAGCAGCACTGGACTGTTGCTCAGTGGTCCAAAGTACTTTTTTCGGATGAAAGCAAATTTTGCATGTCATTCGGAAATCAAGGTGCCAGAGTCTGGAGGAAGACTGGGGAGAAGGACGTGCCAAAATGCCAGAAGTCCAGTGTGAAGCACCCACAGTCAGTGATGGTCTGGGGTGCCATGTCATCTGCTGGTGTTGGTCCACTGTGTTTTATCAAGCGCAGGGTCAATGCAGCTAGCTATCAGGAGATTTTGGAGCACTTCATGCTTCCATCTGCTGAAAAGCTTTATGGAGATGAAGATTTCATTTTTCAGCACGACCTGGCACCTGCTCACAGTGCCAAAACCACTGGTAAATGGTTTACTGACCATGGTATTACTGTGCTCAATTGGCCTGCCAACTCTCCTGACCTGAACCCCATAGAGAACCTGTGGGATATTGTGAAGAGAAAGTTGAGAGACACAAGACCCAACACTCTGGATGAGCTTAAGGCCGCTATCGAAGCATCCTGGGCCTCCATAACACCTCAGCAGTGCCACAGGCTGATTGCCTCCATGCCACGCCGCAATGAAGCAGTCATTCATGCAAAAGGATTCCCAACCAAGTATTGAGTGCATAACTGAACATGATTATTTGAAGGTTGGCGTTTTTTGTATTAAAAACACTTGTCTTTCATTGGTGGGATGAAATATGCTAATTTTTTGGGACAGGCATTTTGGGTTTTCATGAGCTGTATGCCATAATCATCAGTATTAAAACAATTAAAGACCTGAAATATTTCAGTTAGTGTGCAATGAATCTGAAATATATGAGAGTTTAATTTTTATCATTACATTATGGAAAATAATTACCTTTATCACAATATGCTAATTTTTTTGAGAAGGACCTGTATATGTATAAATATAATAAAATAAAATTAAAAAATTAAAAAAATATATATACAGTATGTATATATATATATATATAAAAAAAAAAAATATATATATATATATATATATATACACACACACACACACACACAGTATTTTTGGAACTATAAGGCACACTTAAAATCCTTTAATTTTCTCAAAAATCAACAGTGAGCCGTATAATTAGGTGTGCATTATGTATTAATTCTAGGGATGTGTGATATGGCATAAAATTCATATCACAATATGTATTGTGAAGGGTGGCGATAACGATGTATATCACGATATGTCTTTGGTATAAAACTTGCAATAGGATTTTTTTTTTTAAAAGCATAGGGTGTCCTTTTGCCATAATTTATTTTGAAAAATGCTATACCACAAAATAATCTCAATTAAGAAAATTCCACTACTAGGTCCAGAGAGTTTTTAAATAATTAACAAATCAAGTATTAGGCTTCTTTCTTATAGTGCAAAACAGTGCAAAATATATCAAATGTAGTTTTATCAATATGTTTTAAGCAAAAGAATATGTTGTTAACTCTTAACAGTTTCCTGTATTCTCACTTAATAAATGAACAGCAACAGAGCAGCATTTTACACTGAAACACTTCACCCTCCAACCCTCTAGTCTCCTTCCGCTTTAAGGAGAGCTGACACAAAATGGAGACCAGTTTCCTCTGTGGCTTTGACCAGAGGATCTCGCAGTAAAATCACACAACACAGCGTTCTTTTCACAGATCAGAGAGCAGGTTTCTCTACAGCTGACCAACTTTAACTTTCGACGGAACAAAAAAAAAAAAACTTTCGACGGAACACAGCGTTTTGCGCATGCGTCCGAATACGGCAACACTACGGCAAGCCAGCCATAGTTAGCTTGTAGCTTCGCTACTTAGCTCTCGAAGAAAAGACTTTAACGCCACTTATGCACAGTTTTCAACAAAACAAAAGTAACAATTAAATCTGACAACTCTGATGTTACATCAGACACAGCGTTACTGTGGTTAGCCGGTAGAAGACAGATCTCTATCATAGGCTGAATGTCTATCGTTTCTACCGTGTACCGTATATATCGCGCATTCCTAATTAATTCTGGTTGTGCTTATTGACTTTGAACCAATTTTATGTGGTTACTGTGAATGAGTTGAATACAGTTCGATTTATTTGACTGTTTCGCCTTATAATCCGGTGAGCCTTATAGTCTGTATTTTTCAGACTATAAGTGTGTGTATATAGAAACTGTACACTATGATCATTTGAGCAAACTATTCTTTCTAGTTTTTAATTTTTTTAATAGTATAGTTTTTTCAAATGATTGAGGTGGCCTATAGGGGCCAAGGCCACCACTGGCCACCCTCTGGCTCCTCCATTGCTCCTGTTGGTGGATAAAATCTCCAGGCTCCATCACTCTGTGCTGTCTGGGACAAGCAGACAAATCAACTTACCTCTGTTCTTAAACAGAGTGACTCCAAGCCTCGTGGATATGTTGCAACAAAAACATTTAGGTTTACTCATCTTTCATGTTCAATTCCAGTCCAGAAAAACACTCATTTAAAAATCTATAAATATTCACTATTCAAATCCTTCAGCGTCACCAGCGTACTGCTTGATGAATTTAAACATTTGTACGACACAGTATCCTTCGTACATTTATGATGTATTTGGCCTGTTTGCTTCCAGCTGCTCTGACCGTAACGACGTGTGTTTCAGATCAACAAGGAGCGCTTCAAGATCGACATGCCCCACAGGTTCAAAGTGTACAACTACAAGAGTCCCACCTTCTGTCAGCACTGTGGGACGCTGCTGTGGGGGCTCGCCAGGCAGGGGCTCAAATGTGAGGGTGAGAGGGGGGCCCTTTTCTATCACTGAATCATTTTATTCACATGTGTATGACGACGTTAAGGGAAAAACCTGCAGGTGGAGAAGGGAGGAAAGAAACAACTAATCTAATCCAATCATTGCTTCAGAAAGTCTTTTGTTGTTTTTAAAACCCTGTGTTGTAAATAAAAACCTGTAAAGCTGTAATTAAAGCACTTAAGATGAATATTAGACAGTATTACTAAAATGACAGGAGTACATTTGTTCAGTATTATTTCTCACCAAAGCGTGAATGTAGGTCACATATGTTAGCATGATTATATCCCCACAGCTAAATATGCAGGCCAGTGCAAACACATTTTACAATTACTGTGACTAATGTGACCGTCTTTAATACCCTGAACAGAGAACCTGTGAGAATTATTGATGAATATTTACAGATGATCAGTTATCACATTAATAATTGAGCTCTTTGCAGATTGATGCTGTTGGATTAGAGCTTTGATGTCCTGAGATTAACTGATAATAATCCATACAGATACATAACAGATAAGCATTAGGATTTATGGTTTCATTATTCAATTAATTTATTATCAAAATGTTATAACACTGAAAAAACAAAATTAAATAAAAAAATATATATATTTTAATGTTTCAATAAAAATATTGTAAATTGAGTTTTTACTGTAAATAGTTTGGTACTTTGTTTAAAAAAATTAGTGTCTTAAAAGATTTACTATATTGTATTAGAGTAGTTCCCCATTTATTGCGGGGGTTATGTTCCCCCCGCCCCCATACGCGAAGTAGCAACGTTATATTTATTTTAGTATTTATATTTAAGGCTTTCTAAGCCCTTCCCACACTCTTGCAATGTTTTAAACTTAAACCTATGTCATTTTAACAATATACATGTAGCTACTAAACTTTACTCACCAGTTGGCAGAACTGCAGCGGTTCGGCTCCACTTTGACTTGGTTCTGTTTCGGCGGACCTACCCTGCCGGTTCTGGTCGGCTCTCTGGCTCAGGGTAGTGGCGGTGGGCTCCAGAGAGAAGCCGGACCTACGGCGGAACTTCCCCCACTCGGAAGTCCTCGTGGGCCGTCTAGCAGTTCTCAGGTTCACTGATGGGTCTGTTCCGCTCCGGTTCTGGTCCTGTTCCCGGTGGGTTCCGTGTATGAGGGCTGAACTTTTTCCAATCAGATCAAAACTTTCCCTCTGCGTATTTCAGCAGAAGGAAATGGGGCTTCTGGGCGGGGCACTGTTGACTTCTGGGAAATGAAGTCCTTATGAGTGGCGATACAGTGTAGGCTTGTTGAGAGAAAACTACAAAATGGCGGTGCCTGTCTGAAGTATTTTATTTTTTCGTTAACTTTTTACTCTACAGTATCCCATACTGCCCCAGTCTTGTGAGTAACAGTAAAGTTGACAATCGTGTGTCGTGTACAATGTTTTCCCCTCATATTCAGTCTTACTTTGAACAATTGCGAAAAAGTGAGTCTGCGAACGTCAAACTGCGAAGTAGCGAGGGACTAATGTCAGAATCAGAATAAGCTTTATTATCACTGGACCGAGATACAATGAGAATATGTTTGTACAGTCGTCCAAAAGATGGGCGGAGTGCACGTAGCTGCTGCTATGATAGAATACATTTTTTAGATTAAAAAAGGAGACAAAGTCATGAGGAGAGGATAGTGGTATTACAAAAAAAAAAAAGATTTCTTCACACCTTGTCCTGTCAGGACATGATTTAAGACATAAAAAAAACTCTGCCAGCAGCACATTTATGAACGTTACATATGCATTTGTCAGCAAGGCAGCTTTGAGTCCTGCTGGTACTTTCGAGATCCAAAATGGCCAGATTAGGGTGCATTCTACTGGTCCGTGCTCACGAGTCCCTCCAAGGTCGTTTTCAACATGCTGGCGAGTCCCAAAGCTGCAGGTGGCCTGTGATTCAAGTCACTTCCATGATTTAACTCATAAATCAGCTGATTTTGAGTCCTCAAAGCACAAATCAAACTTTCACGAGCAGGCAGCCTGACGAGGACCAAAGTAGCTGCAGCTGTCTTCTTGTATGTTGACAGACCAGGAACCAGCCGATTCCAAAAAGTAGGAAACCTGTTATCATAAATCCAACTGTATATGTCTTCGGCGTCTTCCTGAGATTCTCAGCAGGACATGGGGGTTCTCCAGGACCCTGTCGCTTCGTTGACAAGATTTTGTCAATTGCGTTTAAAGTCCAGTTGATCAAATCCAAAACAGTAGTTTTCATTTTGGAAGATGTGTAAAAATAGGAGCTCCGATACACAAGACAGAGAGCATAAAAGCAGGAGGGGAACAGGTAGAGGGAAGAGAATGTGTCCGCCTTGTACGAGAGCGAGTGAGGAAAAAATAGTAATATTAAATATACAAAAAGGTCCATTTTACACTGTTTTTCTCTCAACAAATGCAAAAACAAACCTTAAGTAACAATTTAGTGCAAAGTCGATGCTCAAACTACAAAGTGTTTGTAATAAATACGGTTATAATCATAAATAACTGTAGGTGGGGATGAATAATTGAACACCATAGTCATAAATTACATCAATTAGAATTCACTCGGGGATTGTGCAACTATTTTTGGCAAAAAAAGTTTGGATTTTGTGCATCCGTCTACTTAACAAAAATCCACACATCTTAACTAAACAGTTTCTTTCTGAAACCTACTGCCAAGGCCTGATTCTCAAAGATGAGCATCTTAATGATACACATTCAGTAAAATATTTACCCTCTGCTGACAGCTGGTGGTACTTGGATCTCTGGAGACGAAACAAAAAGACGAGGAGCAATTTGCTGCACTGTTGCTTTCACAGTACGAGGGCAATTTTAGTAAAAATATACATCATCCTACAGTAGTTTCCAGATTAAATGTCAGGCATAGCTGCATTTTTTAAAATATATATCTACAAAGTTAATCAAATTTAAGTGTTGCTGTTTTACACCCAGAATAAAAAGTCACTATTTGTTCATTGGAGTTTAAATAATACGGTTTATGTTAGTGAGTATCATTAGAAGCTGGGATTAGAGCTGACTGAACAACAGAAGTGTCCCTATTCCAGCACAGATAATGAAGCACATGAATAGACAGATTTCAGTGTCTTTTAATGCTTAACATAAGAGGCTTATTTTATAAACCCATAAAACAATTTCATCTCTGAGATGAAACAGTCTAGATGGTCACGTGGTTGACATTGTCATGAGTTAGTCCACAGTGTTTCGCAATCTACAGTTCTTCCAACAGCGGCACATATTATCCATTTTCCCCCCATCAGAAATAATCTCTGAACTCCGTGCACGAGTTGGATCGATCGCTGCAGCAGGCGTAAAATACAAACGTGAACTAAATCAAATCTGTCTGGTTTGCAACAACTAAATCCTGCAGCACTAAATAATTTGTCCCTTATATAAAATAGCAACTCATTGTCTAAACTAGAGAAATAGACATAGCCTCATTGATGTCGTCCTATTTTAAACTCTAAAATCAGATTAAAGGGTTTGTGTTGTGCTTTTGGTGCAGAATGCAGCATGAACGTCCACCACAAATGTGAGAAGAAAGTGGCCAACCTGTGTGGGGTCAACCAGAAACTGATGGCTGAAGCTCTGGCCGTCATTGAGAGCCAACAGCAGGTCAGATACGTTCAGACTGAAACATCACGTGTGGGGAAGCGTTATTGGGACAAACCTCTGCAGTTTGACCTGAAGGGGCATCGTTTTTACATCAGAGTGTTGGGGAAGTTGTTTTCTTCTCGCATGCTAAGACTTTAAACCAACAGGCTCACACATATTCAATAATTCAAATCAATTCAACTTGTTTATTTAGCGCCAAGTCACAACAGAAGTTGTCTCAGGGCAGCGAACAGAAACATTCATAATAATATTATTTATCTGAGGAGCAGACTGCTTTGAATTGAACTCCATCTCAGAACTCTCATCTTGTATTGTATTGCACCTGAAAACAGGCAGCTCCTTCCTCTGACAGAAAATAAAGTATTATTTTAAAATCACCTGAATGTTCCATCCATCCATCATCTTTACCCGCTTCTTCTTTTTCGGGTCACTGGTGCCCATATCCAGCAGTCACAGTGTGTGAGGCTCCTGTTTAAAAATAACAACACCCTTTAAAGTGATTTAAACCATCACATTATGCATCAGATTTTAAAAAATGTTACTAAATTGGTTTGGTGCTGGTTCTACGTTTCGTCTTAAGGCCAAAAGTACGAAGGAGTCGGACATTATCGGGCGGGAAGGACCAGTCGGCATTGGCCAGCCGGGGGTGGTCCGAGCTCCGTCTGGGTTAGTAACGGATCCACCCGTCCCATCGGCACCTGCGGGCAAAGGTATGCTCCTACAACAACGTACTTTAACTTTAAACAGTTTCTTCCCTTAACGCTGACTGGTTGGCAATGTGTGGCAGATTTGTCGGGGGTTTTGTGGGAGGGGCCAACAGACGACGGCGGACCAAACTCTTACAACGCTGCAAAAGAACCTCTTTACGCCGTTCCAAAGAAGGACCATCAGTCCAAATTCAACGTTGAGGATTTTACTCTGCACACCATGCTCGGGAAAGGCAGCTTTGGAAAGGTACTGGACATTTCAACGAATCCAATCCTTGCTTCTCTGCTGAAGGCGGCAAACTCTGAAAGTGCAACGCTGAAGATGTTCCTTCCGTGGTTCCAGGTGTTTCTGGCCGAACTGAGGAAGAGCGGGCAGTTTTTTGCAGTGAAGGCTCTGAAGAAAGACGTGGTGCTGATGGACGATGATGTGGAGTGCACCATGGTGGAGAGGAGGGTTCTGTCTTTAGCCTGGGAACATCCGTTCCTCACACACCTTTACTGCACTTTCCAGACCAAGGTGACAACCGTGAACATGTGGAGTCTGGTCTTTTTGCTCTTGCTAAGGGAACTAAGAGGCGAATAACCCAAAATTAACAGGAGCTAGTTAAATTCTCTAAAATGCTTTAAAAAAAATCTCCAAAATGTTCATCGGGTTCTTTTAGGAAATGTAGATTATCTCCAACAAAATGTTTTATTCCACTTAGTTTCGATACTTGATTGAAATGAAAAGAAGCTGAATTAGGCTCGTAAAGGTACTTGTTTTATAAAACCATATATTTATTAACCTTTATTTAAGTATTACGTATTTAAGTATAGTAAGGAAAGGAAAAAGGAAACAGACAACAAAAATAAAAATAATTAACTGAATGACCCCGGAGTATAGTTATATTCTGATCAGGTTTGGAAGCTAACAAGCTAAAATGTTTTGCTTCCATCTTAAAACAACTCATATCTTAAAGGTTTTATATCACCATCGTTGCCAGTTTTGCATTTTACACATCTAATTTTACGATTATTTAAAGTATCAGCAGCAGCTAGCTGTAGCACTTCTGATGCAGCCTGCGAGACGTCTAGCTGGAATATCGTAACTGAGCCATGTAATGAAAAGTTAACAAACCTGAAAATATTATAAAATAATATCCACAATTTTAAGAGCAAAGTTTTAAGACAGCAGCAATCCAGTTTGTGGTAGTCCTACTCAGATTAGCCGTTAGCTCATCAGTCTGACAGAATTAGACCCCATTTATTCAAATTGAGGTCTACCTACAACAGGTAAGATATTAATTGTGCACAACCTTTCTACAAAACCCTACTTGAAAAGCTCTGAACTGTCTCTTTAAACTGGGAGAAAATATGGAGGAAAAAATAACAATTGTTCATAATAACAGCATTAATTATGCTAATATATGTTGTACTAAAGTTATAATAGTAATGTTGTTACTTTATCGATATTCTAAATAATAATATCAAATCATGTAGAAGGAAGTAGCAATTCTTTAGTTTTCTACCACTTTTCCTAACCCACACAATATTTTCGAACAAGTTGAGAGAAAACAAGAATAAAGTGACGATTTGACTGAATCCATAAACTTTTGATTATCTTATCCACAAATCTCTTGACATTTCCGTCTGTTTCCCCTCCAGGAGAACCTGTTCTTTGTGATGGAGTATCTGAACGGAGGTGACCTCATGTTCCACATCCAGACCTGCCACAAGTTTGACCTGCACAGAGCCACGTATGTAAACAGACGTTATGAGGTCATTTATTTCATCTGTAGCTTCCACCTGTTTTGGGAACTAATCTTTGTTATTGCACGACTGGATGAATATGTGTTGTCCTGAGTGAAGTGTTCCCTTTGCGTCTCTTTGGCCTAATTCCTGTCAGTGAACAAGTTACAAAGAGAAGTGAAAAATGCAGAAGAGTAAAATCATTCTAATGACTTTTATTATTATAATAATAATAATTATAACTATTTCCTTCCTGCAGATTTTATGCAGCCGAGATCATCTGTGGGCTCCAGTTTTTGCATTCTAAAGGAATAATTTACAGGTATTTGTGTTGTTAAAGTCATGAACAGGAGTGGAAATGTTTATCTGAGACCAACAAGCTGAATGTCTTTGCTTCTTTGCTGCCCGTCTGCAGAGACCTGAAGCTGGATAATGTGCTGCTGGATTCTGACGGCCATATAAAGATCGCTGACTTCGGGATGTGCAAAGAGAACATGGAGGAAGACTCACGGACCGCCACCTTTTGTGGAACCCCTGACTACATCGCCCCTGAGGTGACCGCGCACCCGTCCTGGTGACGTTAAGTCACCGATTTATTTGCTTTTATTCAGTTTGCTTAAAGACTTCAGACATCAGGATTTTACAGATATGTGTGTGTGTTTGTGCAACAGATCCTGCTGTGTCAGAAGTACAACAGCTCGGTGGACTGGTGGTCGTTCGGTGTGCTGCTCTACGAGATGCTGATTGGTCAGTCTCCGTTCCATGGTCACGATGAAGAGGAGCTCTTTCAGTCCATACGAACAGACAACCCTGTCTACCCCAGCTGGCTCACCAAAGCTGCCAAAGACATACTAGTTAAGGTTAGACGCTGTTTTAAATTATGTAGGCCCATTAGGAGGATAAATTAAGGTAAACATTTATGTAAATGTGCCTAAACTGATGCTAAATACTCTCTGAGAATACTTAAATTACATGATCTAAACCAAGGGTTCCTAACCCTGGTCCTTGAGGAACACCATCCTGCATGTTTTAGTTGTCTCTCTGCTCCGACACGTCTGATTTTAATAAATGGGTGATTAACAAACTTCTGCAGAACTTGATGAATTAGATCACTGAATCAGGTATGTTGGAGCAGGGAAACAACTAAAACATGCAGGATGGTGTTCCTCAAGGACCCGGGTTGGGAACCACTGATTTAAACTAATTAGACAAACACAAGAGGGGTGAAGCAGGGAGAGCAGACAGTGTGGAGTGTCAGGGTTATTTGTGAAAACATCAACAGTGAAGAGAAGGTTTGAGTAATGAGATCGATGCTTGGTTTGGAGACAGCAGCACTAATAATAAGACAGGAGGAGGAGCGGGAGATGACAGAGAAGATGATGTTCAGATTTCCTTTAGGAGGGACCAAAATGAAACAAGTCCATCAGAGGGACAAGTCAGATGGAACAGTTTGAGGATGAAGTTAGATACGCTGAGATGGATGGACTTGGACAAAGGACGATGAATATGGAGCCTTGTGGGAGGAGAAACCATTTAATGGATGGAGTGATCTTCAGAGGAGGATACTGGGATAGATGGAGGCAGATGATGAGCTGTGACGACCCATAAAAGAAGCAGCTGGCAGAATAGGAGCATACACTTTGAATTATGTTAATAATAATGGGTGTTTGTAGTTTGATGGGCATTTATTGATGTTAATGTCGAACTGGCACAGTTCTCCGTTGTGTCTTTGTTTTGTTCCATCAAAACCATTATTTAAGAAAAAACATTTCATGAGAATTGAACGATGATAAAATTGTTAACAGCTATAACCATCAACAAAAACGTCCTGGTGTTTTTTTGTCCTCAGCTGTTTGTCAGAGAGCCCGAGGAGCGGCTCGGCGTGAAGGGAAACATCAGGCAGCACGTTTTCTTCAACAGCTTGGACTGGAGCGCTCTGGAGCAGCGGCAGGTGACGCCACCATTCAAACCCACTTTAGTAAGTAGAAAAACATGCTGTGTACTCTGGAGTACTTTTATTCTGGGTATAAAACACCCTGGAAAGATTTAAGTGGAAAGGAAGGGGTTGTTTTTATATATATAAAAAAAAAATCTTCACCAGCTTTATTTTAGTTTCTGAAACAAAATCTAGAAAAATGTGATTTCCTGTGAAAATGCAGCGTGAACGCTTGTTGATGAGCGTTGCTAACCAAGATGAAGCTTACGTGAAACACATCAATATCTGATAAGTAGAAAGAAGCAGCTAAAGGAAGCACTACAAAATGAAATGATCAAAAATGTAACTAAAAGTAGATGGGGGGGGGGGCTTAAATTAGCAGAAAGAAGCTAAAAATAACAGAAACATGCTGAAATTAGCACACAAAAGATAAATAGCCTGAAGAGGCAAAAGAAAAAAATAAATAGATCTGAAATTAGAAGAAGTTGAAAAGAACACAAAACAGCTAAAATATGTTAATAGCTGACAAAAGCACAAAAAGCAGAAATTATTAAAAAAGGCTTAAAGAACAAAAATAAAAAACTGTAATAGACAGAAATAAACAAAAAGAGCACATAAAAGCTGAAATTAGCTGAACTAAAAGCCCAAAAGATAAAGAAGAAAAACTGGTCAAATAAGCTGAAAGAAGCTAAAAGGAGCTTAAAAGCTGAACTAATCACACACACAAAAAATGCTGAAATTAGATAAAAAGAAGTGGGAAAAAAGCTTAAAAATAATTATGAAAATGCTGAAATGAGCAGAAATAAATAAAAAAGAACTGAAGAAGGCTGAAAATAGCAGAAACAAGTTGAACCAGATCAAAAGCTGAAAAGAGAAGTAAATGTTTTAAACAGCACAGTTTGAAGGAAATGAAGAGAACTCCATTCATTTTCAATGAGGAAAACATGGCCGAAATTTATTTATTTTTTTTTTCAAAAAGATGAAATTGCACAAATACCAAAAAGTCCAAGTAGGAATGTCCTGAAGTAGCTGAATGTTTTGAAATATAAACTGTTGAAATAAAACTTAAGAAGTTGTGTGCCGAAAAACGAACGGAAGAAAACCCGATGTCAGTAGTGAGAATGATTTATAAACATTCACACAATAATCTTTGGTACAAATGGAAATATTAAAATGCTTTATTATTTACAGGAATATCCAGCTGTCAGACTAAAAAGTACAACAAATACAGATGAACTGTGTTTTATTCAGGTTCAACTGTTTCAAAGCTACACACACAAATAAAAAGCTCACTTTTCCACACTGAAGCTGTCGTGTGGACTTTATGATGTCCATGTTCTTTTTTACACGCAGACATTAGTAACAAATGGTGCCCAAAGGTTGCAACTCCAAAAAAGTATATAAACTCCCACAAGGAACAAGAACCGTAAAACCAATAAAACCGTGAACCGGTTGTTAGGACCGTTAATGAGACCACCTCTGTCTTCGTGATGGTCCGTCCAACTTGTAGAAACATGGAGGTTTGGTCTCCTGCTACATATCTGAACAGTTCTTTATTGTCCTGATTCTTCTCAGTTGTGTCATTTGACCAATTTTGATCAAAGCGTCTGATAATTGCTAAATATGTCACCACTGTACCTGTATTTACATTTACCTGCATGGTGGCTCTAAATGAATGAGTGGCGATGCAGGAAAAACATCAATGAAAGTTTACTAAGTGAATGCTGAAAATAGTAGATGATATAAGAGTAAAGCTTCAAAAAGCTCCTTAAATTTGAGCTACTGGATAAATAAAAAAAATCACATTACAAGAATGAAACTAGTGTATCACCTGCTAAATGTTTTAGCTAAATATTTGAAAAACTGAGTTACAGTATATCTATTTTTGTTTGATCTTTATTTTCTTTTAGGTTAAAATCATATATTGGTTATTTTACTAAACTTATATTATAAATGTTTTATCTTTAGTGACGTGGACATGAAATGATGGTTTTTAACTTTTTAACTTTTCAAACATTTCATCTCAGACGTCGCCGAGCGACTGCAGCAACTTTGACAAGGAGTTCATCAACGAGAAGCCGCGGCTGTCGTGCGCCGACCGCACGCTCATCAACAGCGTCGACCAGACGATGTTCAGGAACTTCTCCTTCGTTAACCCCGGCATGGCTCGCGTGGCGGCGCACTGACCAAGAATACCTGCGAACAACCAGCACTAACTGTTTCTGAGCCAAACTCAGGCTGTGACCGTCGGCAGAACTCGTTCACCTCCACCAACATGTTGAGGAAAAACACCACGACTGGGTTGTCCTGGCTGTAAATCGCAAAATAGTCTCAAATACGTGTAAAATAATGATGATCATTAATTTAACCATGATAGCATTCTGTTAGTCGGGCTTGTGTGTGCCGTTTAACAATCCCTTTATCCAAAAAGAACAAGAAAACCATGAAATAATAATAAACCAGCTGAGTTTTTAGTTCTTTTATCAGTAATGATCTTCCTGAGACCCCAAAATAATTTTTTTCCTCAATATTTCTTTGTCATTTATAATGATTAAAATACAATACAGTACAATATAACTTTATTAATAAAGCACTTTAACAACAACACCGTAAGCCAAAGTGCTGTACACTGATAACACATAAAAGCAAGCATAAAAACTATAAATCAATTAAAACAGTAAAGACAATAAAAATAAATAATTTAAAAACTGTAAAACCAACATTTCAATCTGAGTTAAAAGCCAAAGAGAAAAAAAAAGTGTCTTCAGAGAAGATTTAAAAACAGGAAGTGATGTCACCGGCAGCTCATTCCACAGTTTAGGGGCCACGACTGAACATGCTCGGTCACCTCTCATCCTCCTGTTGGACTTTGGAACGACCAACAGCAGCTGATCTGAGAGAGCGTGAGGGAACGTACAGCTGGAGCAGGTCAGACAGATACTATGAGACCATGAAGACGTTTGAAAACCAATAAAACAACCTTAAAATTATTCTGGAAATGAACTGGGAGCCATTGTAGTGATTTTAAAACGGGTGATGTGCTCTCATTTTCTGGTACCAGTTAAAAGGCGAGCAGCAGCATTCTGAACCAGCTGAAGTTGAGTCAGTAACGACTGGCTCAGACTGACATGAAGTGAATTACAGTAGTCCAGTCAAGTTGTGATGAAAACGTGGATTAAAATCTCAAAATGATGTGAGAGAAATGGTTTGACCGTGGCCAGTTGTCTCAAGTGATAAAAGCTGGACTTGATCACTGATTTAATCTGTGTCATTGTCCAGCCTCACACCCAGGTTCGTTGCTGTCTCAGTCAGATATTTTGTTAAAGGGCCCAGGTCAGCATGGACTTTGGAACCATCACTGGGCTTAAACAACAAGACCTCAGTCTTCTCATTAAAGTGTAAAAAATTATGTGACATCCACGCTCTGACTTCTGCAATACATTCCAAGAGTTGGTTCACGGAATACCGTTTATCTTGTTTTAATGCGACATAAATTTGGCTGTCATCAGCATAAAAATGAACAGTAACACCGTATTTCCAGAGAATATATCCCAGAGGGAGTAAATAAAGGGAAAAAAGAAGGGGACCAAGTATAGATCCCTGAGGTACTCCACATGTGAGAGGTGTTACAGATGACTCAACAGCTCCAGCATGTACACAAAAGCTTCTAAATAGGATCTAAACCACAAAATCTCATGAGCGTTCTGCTGATGGCACGTTTGTGGGGGAGAAGCTGACAAAAAGTCAGCCATTTAAAATAAATGTACAGTCTTGTGTAAACGTTCCAAGACAAAGAAATTCAATTTATTTATATGGCGCCAAGTCACAACGGAAGCCCGAAGGAAAACGTTAAATAATATTTAAAATAACAATTTTGGATCAAAAGCTCATACAAGTATAAATACCCTGGGTCTCAGGAAGATTTGTTCATGTTACCTCATAAATCTGTAAAGTTTATTCCACAGTTTAAGAACTCAAATATGTGGTTTGACTGATAAAACTTGGTTAGATGTTTGAGTATTGCTCCTTCATGTGAACAACTCTTGATATGCTGTTCTGTGGTTTTAATCACATTGTTTACAGGTGCTTCAGTGTTGTGTCTCCTGGATGGATCACTGATTTCTACACATTTGTTGTTGTTCAGTCCTGTGTAATAAAGTTTGTGTTTTTGTAACGCTTGTTTGTTTCAGAGTGAGTTCACACTTCAGTCTCTGTCGCACAGGAAGTGGAGGTGAAGGTGTCAAAAGAAACATCTGTTTTCCCACCAAACATTTTACTTTACAGAACATTCTTCCACACAATTTAAACATGACATTTATTTATTTTTATCTCAAATATGTACAAGCTATGAGTTAAGACTAAAAAAATGTGATTAATCTCTTTTTAATGGTGAGTTCAAGACAAAATAGTTTCATGAAAATGAATGTCTTAGACAATTTTTTTAAAGATTTGACCAATAAGACAAGAAATAACTATGAAAAGCAAATGTAATTACAGCACGATGTTGTGTACAGACACTTAACCTCTACGATGGTTTGAGTTTGTAGATATTAGGCTTCACGTGAACAGGAAAGTTAAAAAACAACTCTGCTGTGACGGACACCAGAAGCATGATTTATGATTAACTCATTGCAACATAATGAGGACAAAAAATAAATTCATAAAGTGCAAAAAAATGCACATTTTTCTCATATGATTGTCCTTAAATTCAAATTTCTAAGTAAAATGTGTGCGCGGCTGCCAGCTACTGCTTGTATTTGTTTACTAAGAAACAGCCGAAGTGACTGATGGGTCAACAATGGCGACCACAAAAGATGCGTTTGAGGTCAACTCCTCCATTCGGTCACTTTTCGTTTGAATTAGCAGCAGATTCCATCTAAACATCTTTTGTTCACCTACAGACAACTTCATGTAAGTCGGGGCTCTCGCGTAACTTTCTGCTGAACTTGTTTACATTCAGTGCGTACCCACATTTTAGAATTGCACATCAATATATCTGGAAATTACATTGTAAACTTTCAGACGGTACCATTTGATATAAATTAAAGTACCTTTTTTTAGGTTTAATTTTACAGTTTGCAGTAGCTTCAAATTGTAACGCAGCTGCCAAGCTTTTAAAACTGAAATATTGCTTCTTAAATATGAATGAAGCATCTTTGACAAAACGTACATAAATATTACTGCACACCAGTTAGCCGCTACATTAGCCTTTGTGTCTGCGGTGCTGTATTTGAACAAAGTAAACCAGATAAACTCACACTTTTCAACAAACTGGAGCCATGAACATGAATTATTACCAATAGTGGTCAAGCTGCTGACGAGGTAAATGGAAAATAAAAACTGTTTTTTTTAAATACTTTAGCGGCTAATGCTAGCTTAAACGCTAGCTGTGCACTGAGAGATGTTAGCATTCTGCTAAGGTTTTGCTAATTTAACTTTTATCTTTGGTTTTGCTAATTTTAGCTACAATCTATAGTTTGGGAATGTCAGCATTCAGATATAGTTTTGCTAATTTTAGCTTGTAACTATAGTTTGGCTAGTTTTAACCTTCAGATATAGTTTTGCTAATTTAGCTACAATTAGCCAGTTTCATCATTCAACTTGCTAATTTCAACTTTTAGATACTTTTCTGCTGCATTTAGCTTTTATCTTTGTTTTATCTAATTGTGTGAACGCTGCAAAATATTCACGCTATTGTTTCAGCAATTTAGGTATCAAACGTTCAGCTCGTTCAGGAGACTCCTGCTTTGACGTTTGGTATTAATAATCTTTTAAACTTTTTGAAATATTAAGATTTATCAGCTATATTTTTCCTCACTGAAATGCAATGAGATTCAGTCATATCCTTCAACATCTTACTGCATTTGCTACAAAAATTGTGTACCAGCTGGTGACCTATATTCAGTAACAGTCATATGATATGTATAGCACTTTGACTTATATGAAATGAAAAGTGTTAAATGTGATTTATTAGCATTAGTCACCTGCGATGCTGTCTCACTTGTGGAGGCTTGTTCCAGGTTCCTAGCTGCAGTGTGGGATCCTCTGTACCCCTGTGCATGAAGGACAGAGTTTTTAATTTCAAAGTTTTTGTCTATTCATTGTGCCGTAACACTAATCGTGCTAACGGGGCTAACACAACGTCCACATGTCTGTGGTAAAACTCACCCAACAAGTCGTGCTATCGACTATTAGCTTCTCAATGACGACGGAAATTACAGCTTTTAACTCGGGTAATGTTACGTCGGAAAAATATCTGAGACTGCGGACGATGTAGCGAGGCTCAACGTACTCCATAAATCTTTGGAATCCGACATCCTCACCAACGAAAAATAAAATTTCCACACCGCCGACATTTTGAATTCGGGTATGGAGCACGTGACGTCATTGCGTTGCGCTGCCGCTGCAGGCAAAAACAGCACCTTTTATATTGGCGAGTTATTTTAATGGAATGGCCGATGTCTGATATTGATATTTAATGTTAATATCGTCTGATACCGATGCCATGCCGATAATATCGTGCATCCCTAGTTTGTTTGTGTCTCTTAACAGATATGGCTGAATCACAGGTGCTAAAGAACATTCATTCAACCTTTATTTAGACAGGTTAATCCCAATGAGCCTCGAGGACTCATTTACAAGAGAAACCTGAGCAGGAGTGGTTGTCAAGTCAGTTGAAGATACAGTGTGTGTGTATATATATATATATATATATATATATATATATATATATATAATGGGTGTAACGTTACGCTAAAATCACATTTCGGTTTGGTTCAGTTTCAAGGAGGGCTCGGTTTGGTTCATTTTCGGTACAAAAAAAAAAGCCAAAATAAAAACTTACAAAATGTTTATTTTGAAAATATGCCAAGTAAACAATACGTTTGTATAAAAGTAAATGAAAGCGACCCATTTGGATGATATTTTAAATACAATGCACTCTTTACAGTAAATAAACTATACTAACAATAAGAAAACCTTAATAAATACAATAACAGTCAGAACCAGAACAACAAGCAGCAACAGAATGTTTACAATCTAACCAAGTTTTAAAGTTTTTGGCCAAAAAGACAAACTTGTCCACATGTTCTGTCAAAATCACAGATATAGTTGTAGTGAATTTCTCCAGCGGAGGAGAAAATCCACTCACTAACAACAGTAGCTGGAATAAAGAGGTAGAGCTTTGCTAATTTTGCAGTGTGGCTGTATTTGGCCTCATTACTCACACACAACCTCTTCCTGGAAAAGTTCAGAGTTCACTCATCACAGACTTCTTAGCTGGAGTTCATCTCTGGTGGATTTATCTGAAGAGGAAGACGACTCAGCTGCTATCTCTGTCCCAGACTGGAAATAAAAAACACAAAGAGGTTAAAAAAAATGAGTTATAATTTTAAATAAAAAAAGTTAATTAGATAATAATAATAAAATAACAACACCTCTTCTTGAACGGCCATCATTTCTGTCATGAGGAGGGTGAATCTGGTTTATCATGATCACGTGACAGGACTTTAATCTGGTCCAGACGATCAGTTTGTGCTGCTACAACTGTTTGGCTGGTGTTGACGTGATGTCGTAGCGGCGCATCAACAACAGAAATGTAGATCCAGAGCTTTAAAAACAGCTTGTGTTATTGCTTTGGATCGATCTGAATTACCTGATAAAGGTTGTTTAAATGCTGCTGTTGTCGGTCTTTGCACAAAGTTAGAAGAGACGTTCACATGATGTCGTTTCAACCGAATTAACAAGTTAGACTTGTTGCCTGCGGCAGATCCACTCTCCGTGAAACAACGTCGACACCCAGCTTTGGATTTACACTTGTCTTTTAACAAGAAAGCCATAATGTTCCCAAACAGGAGACCGCAACGAGAAGCTAATGCTAATGCTGCGCGTGCTGCAAAATAATAACGTCGTGCTGAAACACGCTTGGGAACTTTAGTTCCGCGGCGCATAATCTCTCGTTAATAAAATTTAATGCGTGAAAAAATAACCGAAACGGTTCAATACACCCACATGTCAAATCAAGTCAAGTCGCATTTATTTATATAGCGCATTTAAAACGGTAACTGTTATCAAAGTGCTTACGAAAAAAGATCACAGCGTCAAATATTAATAACAACATATTACAGCATCGTGAATAAAAGCGTAAAAACATTAAATATAATTAGAAACAATGAAATACCAAATGAGATCACACTGTGTTAAATGCCAATGAGTACAGATGTGTTTTGAGGAGAGATTTAAAAATAGAGACTGAGGTGGCCTGTCGAATGTTGATGGGCAGATTGTTCCAGATTTTAGGGCCCATGACTGAAAACGCCCGATCTCTGAGCTTCAGCCTGGTTTTTGGTACGGCCAAAAGCAGCTGGTCTGATGATCTCAAGGCCCGAGAAGGAGCAAAAGGATGAAGAAGGTTGGAGAAGTATGAGGGTGCAAGGCCGTTAACACACTTAAATATCAGCAGAAGAATCTTAAAATCAACTCTGACATGCACAGGAAGCCAGTGAAGGGAGGACAGAACCGGAGTAATGTGCTCAAACCTGTGAGTTCCTGTTAGTAGCCGAGCTGCAGCATTTTGGACGAGCTGGAGATGTGAGAGAGAGACCTGACTGACCCCAGCATAAAGTGAGTTACAGTAGTCCAGCCGGGTTGTAATAAATGCATGGACTAATTTTGCAAGGACAGATCTGGACAGCACGGACTTGAGCTTAGCTATCTGCCTTAGCTGAAAGAAGCTTTTTGGAAGAATAGCTCAAGTTGTTTATTTGTGAATTTTTTTTCCCCATCAAAATAAGCACTGAAATAAACATTTCATGCTAAAATTGCTACATTCGTGAGGTTACTGAGCAAATTGTTTTTCTTTGAATAGACACTTTGTTATGATGTGTAACCATAGCAACAGGAACGATTTCTATCTGACCAGCAGGGGGCGCTGTAGTGCATTGAAAACTGCGGCGGTGGCAACTTTTCTGTTCCAGCAGTAAAACAGTTTGTCTCTTGCAGACAGTATTTCTGTTCTTGCTGCAGGACTAGGCTGAGGCTGGCACCTCTTGGTATTTGACATTAAACACATGATCTGATCCAAAAAGGACAGTCAGGGTGGAGGTGAAGTCCAGCTGTAGAGAACCAGCCCAGTCACTTATTTGCTGTCAAAATCGGTCCTCCAGTAGCGCTAACTACTGTAATGCTGGACACAAAGCTAATGCTATGAGCTTTAAGCTGCATAAAAAGACAAATTAATTTTGAGTCATTCTCACCTGCCTTTCTATCACTCAGTATTTTTGAACTGGATAATGTTGCCTTTTTACAAATACTAATGTGCATATGCTCTTGTATTTTGCAATGCATTGTGGTCTAGATATATTCATGCCTACTTCCAGTTAGATTTAATGCACTTAGTTGTTCATTTCCACCTGTGCTACCATTTGTGATCTGCTGTCATTAATACCTGGCAACATTGAGGACAATTTTCTGTCAATGTAAAATAACTATACATCTCATTTACAAATATGTTTTTGTGTAAAAATCAATAAAAAGCAGATATAAAGGACCAAAACAAAGCAGTTTTGTTTAAAGCTCTGGCACGGAAGGCTCCTAGGAATGCTTCTTTTATTGTTTGTATGATTAGTAAATTATAATTGCAGTTTATTAGTAAAAGTGTTAGTGTTGAATGCGGACCACAAATACCTGAAATAGCTACGATTGTGTAAAAAGATCAATAAAACGGCAGGCGGTGACTTTTTGAGAGCAGCAGAGACCAACGCTGAGCTCTTTAGAGAACATGTGACATGGAGACTGATAAACAGCAGGTTGTAACAAACTGATTAAGAATCGTCTCATCCTTCACCACCACCTCCTCAAAATACTAAACAGGAAGTCAGACTCCAGCTAAACACTTTATATGCAAATATAAAATACAAGTTTACTTTAGAAATTTTACCTAAAAGCATAAATTATACACATAATTCACATACAGAAAGATTTTATTGATAGAAAAAAAACAATGTTAAGTGCAGGACATCATTGCAGTTGGCAGGTTTACAGGACTTCTGAGGCATATTTTAACGTGTACTTAAATACTTGGCATAGGAACAATTGTATGGCTATTGTGCAGCGAGAACAGAAATACTTCGTTTTCCACCACGGTCCATAAAACTCAAGATGGAAGCATTGATCGAATGTTTCAGTCCAGGAGGATAAACGGCAAGAAAGCCTGAATGTTTCAACCGCGACAGTTTAGAGACTCCAGTCGGGTCAAGTGGGACCTTTGTTGGTCACTAAAGGGCTCGTTACCGACCCAATCTCTTCATACCGACAGAGAAACATTCCTTTCACTTTAAAGTCATCTACGTCGTCATGGTTTCTTGGTAATGGCTTGTAAATTGCAGGATTAGTGAGCATCAGTAAACACTTCAAATATCTGTGCTTCGTATTTTATAATCTTTCTCCTTCAGATAGCGGATGGTTGCTCTAGAAGCAGGAGGCAATGTGGTGTAAACCTTTTATATCGTGTCTTCATCGTCTCCCCGTCGCCCCGGCGGCGGCGCTGCTGCTCCGGTTCAGGTTGCGGCTGAGCTGAGGGAAGTGGACCGTAGGCGTTCTGGACGTGGGCCCGTAAAGGCCCAGGTTTCTGGCCGCCGCCGACTTCCTGGGCTGCTTTATTGAAGGGAACGGAGAGAAGACCTGCTGCTTGGGAGCGGAGGCGGCTGACGAGAACCTCGACGGCGAGGAGGAGAGATTGGATCTAGATGATGAAACGGAGCAGAGCGAGGGGGTGGAGGGGGAGCAGGTTTTGTTGAGAGAGGATGGTGCAGGAGTGGAAGTCAGAGAGGGACAGAGGGAGGAAGGTGGACCAGGAGAAGGAGTAACTGGAGAGGGGGGTGGACTTGATGTGGAAGGAGGAGGAGGTAGAGAAATACGAGGACAGTGTTTTTCAGAACCACTGGAGGGAGAGCCATTTTGTCTGTCTGAGGACAGAGGTGTGGGGAGAGGAGGAATCAGGGGAGGAGGTGCACTTTCTTTCAGTTCAGACTGTGTGTCCGGCTGGTCCAGGGAAGTCTGCTCAGTCTCTAGATCCAGGGAGTCCAGCTGCACCACCACCTCCTCAACATCCGTCTTTTTTATGTCGTCTGAAGCCTGAGGAGCCTCCTCGCCCACCGAACTTTGACCAGACGCTTCAAGAGATGGAGCCACAGAGGAGTCACTCTCCTCTTCTTTATTCTTCCTCCCCTCATCCTCCACCCCAACTGATTCTCCATCCTCCTCCTCTTCATCGTCCTCCTCATCATCTACCCTTTCTTCTGAATCTTCAAACCCCAGCTGTGCTCGAGCTCTGGCGATGTTCCTGCGATGCTGCCGGACGTGAGCACGCCAGGGAGACCCGGCGCCTCCTCCGCAGCTCCCAGGAGATCCGGTGCTGTTGGAGAGCAGCGAGCTGCAGCGCTGCCTGGACGGAGACCCCCCGCCGAGGGACAGAGGAACAGATCTGGATCCGGGGAGCGAGGGGGTGCTGGCAGACATCGGTCTGCAGCTTCGGGAGCCGCCGTGCTGTTTTCGACTCAGGAGGAGGTGGTTGATGACTGAACCAGACGGGTTGAGCTGGGAGGCCAGAACACGCGTGGCGGGACACTTGTCTGGATTGAAGGGACAAAATAAGAAGGCAGACAAAAACAAATTACACCTTGTTAACAAAGCATGTCATTAAGGACACGCCAAGTCAGCCAGAGATAGAGAAATTAATTTAGAGGAAAAGAAGAGTTTAAGCCGTCAGACACCAGAGGGCGCTGTAAGCATCAGATTTCATTTTAATGCATGAAGTGACTGATGAAGAGGAAAACAACACAGATCAAACCTCAGAGGAGCTGCAGGCAGACTTGAACTTTATTACTGAGGGTTAGCGACAAAGAAACACGCAGCCGAGAAAAGAATCAACAATCAGAACAATCAGTGATAAAAGCAGATTGACAGGAAACATCTGTCAGTACTGAACATTTTGTTAAACTAATCAAACTTATTGACGTGATCTTTTACAGTAATTTAAATAAAATAAAAACTGATGAGTGTAAAAAGTACACAAGTATATAAGTATAAATCACATCTACTTTATTAAAAATTTTCTGGGGGAGGACCCCGCACTACGTCCACTATTTGTGTTCCAGCATCCACCGGTTTACAAATTAAGCCCTGGTTGTAGCAGTAAAAAGTGACTTGTGTTCAGTAATGACTTTTGTTTTCAAAGTATTACTCAGTATTTACTTTTATAATGCATAAATAACTTGAACAGTGAAGGTAAACAGTTTTTTACACAATGTTTCAGTTCCTAAACCTTTAGTTTTAAGCAAAAAATAAATGTGTAAAATGTCTAAAAACAGACTTCTTATAAATGTTTTCTTGCTTAATAACTGAGATACTGTAGTCCCTCGCTACTTCGCAGTTCGACTTTTGCAAACTCGCTCTTTCGCAGTTTTTCAAAGTAAGATTGGACATGATGACACACAATTGGCTGATTGATGGATGAGCCGCACGAACAGCATGGATTGTTTATTTAAAATAAATTATTTTGAATGATTAAGCACCTGCTGCACCTTTGTGCAGCCCACAGGTGCAGGGGGAACCTCCCTACTACAGCGTGTTGTTAGGATGTTTATTTAGACTGACACTGGGTTTTTTGATCTGCTCGGAGACGGGATTATAATGAAATTATGACCTGGTTCTGACTGGGTTAAACAGGGCCAGCAACTCTAAAAAGAGTCTCCCAGGGATTCAATATCTGTCAAGGAATAGTTCATTTTGCTTGCAACATCATGCAGAAAGGCTTTTGAAGCACATTCTCATTTTGCCTTTCATGTTAACTCACATAAGATCCATTGAGATCACACTTAGTCACTCCCCCTCATACACGGTCAGGTTGTGCTCCCCTTCTGCGAAGGAGGAGTCTAGGGCCTATAAATCTGGAATGCGATGGGACATCCGGCTCTTCCGGTTTCTGATCTCGCATCGGGTACCAGAACTGGCCGGTTAAAAGACGTACCAAAAAAGTCCAGATGGATGACTGCCAGCACCCCACCTGAAGCTTTCCAGCTGCCACGCCAGCGGATGTGCGCGGACAACGATCGTTAACAACTATATTATAACAAGGTGCTCCAGCACCTCCCACCCCACTGTTCTTGGCCTTGTTTTTTTACGTGTCGCGTTTCTTTCTCTTTCGCAGCTTAATAATAGTTTTGGTTTTCCTGTGACTTATTTGCAGTATGATAAATGGTAGGAGCATAAATATAAGCCTGATGTTTTGTTCTTTTTTTAAAATAAATAATAATTTACGTTTTTTTGCAAATTCTTTTTTTGCGAATATGATACAGCGTCTTGAGATCCTATGACGTCACTGACTAGTCGGTATCAACTTATCATGTTAAAGTCTACTTTTAAAAATATGTAGTCGTTCAAGCCCTACTTACTACCAGTACTACTACTACTACTAATACTTTTACTACTATTCCTACTTCGTGGTTTTTCATCCGGGGGGGCTGGGAACGGACCCCTGGCGATGAACGAGGGACTACTGTATATAACGTTACACATTTGGAGATTTCGTCCTATAAATTCAGTCAGAATTACTTTTTTTAGTTCTACTTTTAAGCACCAGAACCGGTTTTCTAAGTTCACCAAAACATTTGATTGGAAACCTGCACCCAAGACACAAATTAGAGGTAAAAACCCATTCTGTTGATTTTATCCTAAAGCAATGGTTCCCAACCCTGGTCCTTGAGGAACACCATCCTGCATGTTTTAGTTGTTTCCCTGCTTTGACACACCTGATTTAAATGAATGGGTTATTAACAGGCTTCTGCAGATGATGAAGTAATTAAATCAATGAATCAGCTGTGTTGGAGCAGAGAAACAACTAAAACATGCAGGATGGTATTCCTCAAGGACCTGGGTTGGGAACCCCTGCATTAAAGAGCCTCATAAAGCTTTCAGAAGGCCCAGCTGCAGAAGACCTGTAAGTTTGACACAAGTACCGTCAGCGTGGTGGTCAGAACATTTGCAGTGTTTGTTGGAACCATCCTGAAGAACCCCTGGACTTGTGGCCACTTCAGGTCCAGGTCCTATGAGTCACACAGCATCGTTAAACATCTGGATTTATGCTTCTTCTCTGCTCTCTTCCGTTAGTGACATTTCATGCAGTCTGGCTGCTCTACACATCCCGTTTTAAATGACATTTATTTACACAAGAGTAAAAACAAATTTAAGTGTTATTTTTGTTAGTCACCTGTGCGGATGTAGAGCTGCATAGCCTGTTGCTGCTGCCGCCTCTTGATTCGTGCATACTGCTTCTTCAGCGCGGAGATATCGGTGCTCATCCTCTCCATCATCATACTGTTGATGGCCGCCTGATGTTCTGCTTTAGCACCTCCTCCTGCTCCTCCTCCAGCTCCCACCGCACCTGGACTCAGTTCCGCAATGTTCCCCTGCTCCGCTCGCTGGTCTGGATGCAGAAGAACAATAATAATAAAAAAGACGCCGATCAGGAAGTAACGTTTTGGAGTACAGTTTGGTGAACGGATTTGAGTCAGAGAGTCGGGGTTTTCAGCAGATTACACAAATCGTGCTAAATCTGTTGCATCTTTTGTAACTCTCCTAAAAGCTCCTTTCCTATTTCTTTCCTCCAAGTTGTATTTTAATCAAGATCAGCTGACCGTTAAAGACATTAATCTTAATGCCTTCAGAAAACCTCTTAGGAAAATAACATTGGGTAAGTATATCTGCAATATGTTTACTTTCAAAGCACACTTTGTCTTGGTTTCGGCTGCTTGTCTTGTTTTTTAGCATTATAAATATGAATCTTTTAGACAAAATCTCTTTTGTTTTTTTTCAGCGTTTGTGCAGCTAACACTAAAGCTAACTATAGAAATTGCATTTCCTTCGAAAATGCAGTGTGAAAGCTTATTGTAGAAGAACTTGCTGAACAATAGCTGAAATTAGCACAAAAATGCTGAAATCTAGCTGAAATGGAAGAACAAGCCTAAATTAGTTGAAGAAAGCAGACAGAACACATATTAGCCTAACTGTGTTTGAATAAACAGAATGAGCAGAAAATTAGTAAATTATTTCATTAAAAAAAAAAAAAAAAGCTGAACTTAGCAAAAAATAGCTGAAAAGTAGCTGGAAAGGCTGAAAGAAGCTTAAACTACCAGAAGAAAACAGAAAGAGCTGAAATTAGTAAAAAAAAAAAAAAGAAAAAAAAAAAATGGAATTAGCTGAAAAAGCTAAAATTTGCATAAAAACTGCTAAATAGTAGCTGAAATAGCATAAAATGCTGAAATTAGCAGACATAAGCTGAAAGGAGCATAACAAGCTGAAATTAGCAGAAAGAAATTATTTAGGCTTAAAGAAGTAGAAATTACCATGAAAATTTTGAAACAGCTGAAATCAATTAAAAATGCTAAAACATTAGCTGAAAAGGTAGAACAAGCTTAAATTACAAGAAGTTGCAGAAAGAACACACGTTCACCCAATTAGGCAGAAAGAAGCTGAAATGAGCACAAAAAAGAAATTATCAGAAAAAAACAGCTGAAATGTAGCTAAAAAGTCAGGAAGACGCTTAAATTATAAGAAGGAAGTGGAGAGAGCACATTTTTTCTGAATTAGGCTGAAAAAAGTTGAAATGAGTGCACAAAATGTAGAATTAGCTGAAAAAGCTACAATTTGCATAAAAATTGCTGCACAGTAGCTGAAATAGTAGAAAAAGCTGAAACGTGCATAAATAAGATGAAAGGAGCATAAACTGAAATTAGTAGGAAGAAGTTAGAAGAAGCTCAAAAATGTTGTAGTTAGCAAAAAGAATCACAAAGGAGCACAAAACAGCTGAAAGTAGCTGGAAAAAAGTCTAAATTTGCAGAAGGAAGCTGAAAGAAACTGCAGCAGAACAAAGTGTGAAAGGAGCAGTGAAAGGTTGTAAACACCTCTAAAGATCTGAAGGATGCAAAATGAGCTCAGTTCATTTTCTATGAGGAAAAAAAATGGCAAAAAAGGCTAAATATTTCAAAAAGCTAAAGTTGCACCAATACAAAAAGTCATAGCAGGATTGTCCAGAAAGTGCTGAATGTTTTGATTTACAACTTGTTGAAATGGCTTAAAAACTGTGGGACGAGAATCACAAAATAGTGTGAATGCTTCACAAACATTCACACAATAAAACTACGGTAGTCTCACGTTGACTGTACAAAGTAACTTGTGAAGTTTGTTATTTGTGCACACGCCGCTGCTCTTAAAAACACAGTTCTGACGCTCTTCCTTTAAGTTGTGACAACTGTTGCCTCAGAAAGTAACCAGTGGTTTAATCTGAAATCCTCTCAGGCTTTTCTACAAGTCGCTGAAGGAGCAGGAAGTGGGGGATTTGTCTGGAGGAAACAGATTAGAGCTCGTTGAGTTTGGACTCTAATCGAGGACAGAACATGAGGGTTTGGACCAGTAGTACACCCTCTGAGAGCTACTGCGTTAATCCTTCGGGATGATTCATGTGAGCGTGCCAACCTTTGAGATGCTTGTGGTATCTCTGCAGCTCGGGGGCAAGTAGGCCACCCAGAGGCCCCAGACAGCCGAGCGCAGTCGCCACAGAGTCTTCGTCGTCCATGTCGGCATCGTCATCGCTCTCCCAGCTGCTCCGACCGCCGCTGAAAGAAGGTAGCTCATCGTTACATCCGCTGCCATCCCTTCATGTTCCCTTCAACACCTCACCCAGACGTGCCAACATATTTCTGCGATTCTGCCTTAATTTGACACTAATCTGTGCCTTAAATTAGTTTGTGGAAGATTAACAAAACAAGGATGTTAAGAACGAGTCAAGATTTCAGGAAAATGTATACTTGAAAACTATATTTTGCACACTATTTAAAAAAAAATATTAAACAGCAAAAAAAAAAAAGAAAAAAAAAGTTTGGTTAAGGACATAAAACCAAGTTGTTGAATTTGAAGGTTTAGGACGAACCTTCCGTTGGACTTGACCGAGGTAGGGAATGGAGTGATGTTGTAGGTGTATTTCTCTCTCAGCTCAGCCAGCTGGGGGAAGGGAAACACGGCCATGGAGTAAACCTCCTGATGAACAGAGGGGCGTGAGACGGCGTCCACACACTTATTACTGCCGTTAGAAAACCGTTTCAACTCGCGTGACGTCAACAGAGTACCTGCATGAGTTCAGCCGGGTCCATCAGGTTGTGCTCCAGCATCTCCAGAGTGAGACAACCCATCGTGCTGTAAAACTCATCCGCTGTCTGACAATACTCGATCCTCCTAAACACAGATTAAAAAACAAGGTTTTATACAGAGGACGTATCATGGTCTGCCACAACCCGCTACAATCACCACTTTAAGTTTTTTAAAACACCCTTTTTCAGCTTCAAGACAGGTTTTCAAATACTTATACTAAAGAAGCCATTTTCTGCATCCATCATACACTCAGCCACTTTTATTGGGTCCACCTGTTCAGTTGCTTTAAACAAGAAACTAACCAACCAATCACATGGGAGCAACTCAGTGTGGTGAAGACGACTTGCTCAAGTCCAAACGGCGTCAGAACAAGGAAGAAAGGGGATTTAAGAGACGTTAAGCGCAACAGGTGGTTGGTCGGAGTATTTCAAACTCCTGATCTCTGGGTTGACAGAGAATGGTCCGACAGAGAGAAAATATCCAGTGAGCTGTGAAGTCAAGAAATGTTTCGACTCAATATTTTATCTTCTCTCCAGTCTGGCTTCAGGAAACAACACAGCACAACGACTTCTTCGCTAAAGGTTTTTAATGATGTTGTTGAAGCTTTGGACTCTGAGGATTACTGTGTACTTTACTTAGACCTGTCCAAAGCCTTTGACACTGTACATCATGACATCTTATGACACAAGCTCTCAGCTTCTCAGATCACACTGTTGGCTGGTTCTCAAACCATCTCTCAGGTCGGAAGCAATGTGTTCGTCATAACGGTACTTCATCTAGCTACCCAACGGTCACCAATGGTGTGCCACAAGGCTCAGTTTTAGGTCCCACTCTTTTTTACAATTTATATAAATAATGTAGGTCTAAACATTCTTGATGCTTCCTTGCATCTCTATGCCGACAACATTGTTGTTTTTTGCCGAGCTAACACCGTTTCCAATGTTTTCCAGCTTCTAGTCTGCATTTGACATCATTCAGTCTGACTTATTCCATCTCAAGCTGGTGCTAAATGCTGGCAAAACCAAAGGGATGTTGTTTTCCAACAGGAAGTCGGTGCCAGCAACTCTTCCTCCTATCTCATCCATGCATAGTGTTCCTATTGAGTTTGTAGATTCTTACAAATACTTGGGAATTTTGGTCGATGCACATCCCTCTTTTAAACTACATATCGAAAACGACAAAGAAACTGAAATTTAAACTGGGTTTGTTTTCCAGAAATAGATTTAGCTTAACTCTGAATGCCAGAAAACACCTTGTAGCCACTACCTTTCTACCAACCATTGACTACGGTGATATTATTTACATGAATGCTCCTTCCAGCTGCTTGCAGATGTTGAATGCTGTCTATCATGGTGCACTAAGATTCTGGTTGTAACTACTGTACCAATCACTGCACCCTGTACTCACTGCTCAGTTGATCATCATCTACATGAAGGCTCTCACACTGGTTCATCTTCATCTACAAATCCCTCCTTGTCTGCTTCCTTCTTATATCTCCTCCCACATGTCACGCCGTCAGTGCAGTTACAACATGCGCTCTCAGGACATCATTACCTGCGGCGTTCCCTCAGTGCGAACTGAACTTGGAATTTAAAAAAAAGCCTTTTCCTACTTAGCTCCTGCAACCTGGAACACCTTGCAACAGGAACTGAAGTTGTCCACCTTGATTTCTTTAAGGGGTTTTAAACATTTGATAATGTCAATGGAAACATTAAAGCAGACATGTTCTTGTTTTTAGTATTTCACCCTGTTTTATTTTATACACTACTCTTATTTTAACTACATTTTTACTGTAGTTTATTATTTAGTTATTGTTGTCTGTACTTTATATGTTCTGTCTGGAACAGGTCCCTCTTGTAAAGGAGTCCTCGTGGCTCAGTGAGACTGGCCTGTTCAAATAAAGGTTGAATGAAAGCAGCAGCTGTGTAGACTAAAAAACTTTGTTAATATCAGAGGAGAATGGGCGGACAGGTAGCAGTAGCTCAAAAAATTACTGGTTCAAGCCAAGGTCTGCATCTCTGAACCCGCAACACGTCCTTCCTTGAAGCGGATGGACTACAGCAGCAGACCACACTGGGCGACACTTCCTGTCAGCTAAGAACAGGAAGTTGAAGTCGCAATTCGTACAGACTCACCGACACTGGGCAATAAGAAATTGGGAAACCGTTGCCTGCTCTGCCGAGTCTGGATTCACTGAAGTCCAGTGCCTCCATGGTCACCAGATCTCAGTCCAGTCGAGCACCTTTGGGACGTGAGGGAACAGGAGACTCCCATCATGGACAAATCTGCAGCGTGACCAAAATCTTGGGAAATTTTCCAGCTTCTCGTTGAATCAATGTTATGGAAAATAAAGGCTGGTCTGAAGGCAAAAGGGCGTCCAACCCAGTACAAGCAGGGTGTACCTAAAAGTGGCCTACAGTTTCCGTTTCATTTGTTTAAAGGCTGAATAACTTTTATTTTTAGAATTTTCATGGTAGCAGAGTTTAATCCAAGGCTTCTTACTCTCCCAGTCTCTCCCAGATGGCGAGAGCCACTCGAAACAGAACCTCTGAGCCCTCGAAGAAAACCGAGTCCCAGATCTTCAGGACGGTGGGCGCCGGCAGGCAGGTAGCGAACATGGTCAGAAACCACTGCATAGTGAAGACGTTGGTCAGAGGAGGCTCATAGCTGCCTAAAAACAAACACACCACCACAGGTATTGGTAAATGACAAGCAGACGCCTCTATACACACACACACACACACACAGAGCTGCATACCTCCTGCTTCTCGGTTGGCTGCTTTCTGAAGGTGATGGAGGTGCTGAGACAACCTGGGCAGCTTCAGACGCAGCAGATCTCTGAACACCGCCATGTCAACTGTCAGCAACAGACACCACACGGAAAAACACGCAGCAACACAAAAAATAACGCTCGTCTGTAGCGACAACACTGAAGGAGAGTTTTCAGAAAACCAACAGACTCAGAGTAGTTTCTACTTCCTTTGTAACGTCTTAATTCTATCTTAAAATAGTCAAAGTTGTTGGTTATTCAACACAGAGTTTCATCTCAGCTAACCCATCAATGATCCGGTAAACATTCATTTCAAAAGTAGCTTTATACGCATAAAGTTTTGATGCAGAGCATCAAAAACGTAGGGATGGAAAGGACAGAGCTGCTTCACCAAAATGAAATTCAAGCACTTTTCTGCTGAATATTAGGAGGATTACAGCTCCTTAACTTGATGACGGATGTTAGATTATAAAAAAACCAACATAATTTAACCTAAAGTTTACTCGAGTCCTTTATTAACTTCAAATACAGATTAATAGCAACGTTTGTATGCGTCAGTAACAGATAGCTGGTTAGTCATGATTATTCTAAGGACCATTCATTACAGTAGATTTAAGCATTTTAGCCCCTTAGACCTAAAACTGAAATTATTTTACTAAACTTCCAAACACAACATTGAAATTTATTATTTTCAAGGCTTTCCAACACGTGTCCTAACGCCAGCTGTAACTAGAGAAATGGCATTTCCTGTGAAAATGCAGTGTGAACGCTTATTGCAGAAGAACTTGCTGAAAAACAGCTGAGATTAGCTTAAAAAAAAAAAGCATGTTGTAATTTAGCCGAAATGGAAGAGTGAGCCTAAATTAGCAGAAGAAAACAGGACACATATTTGTTGAATTAGGTTTGAATAAGCAGAAATGAGCACAAAAATTAGGAAATTAGCTAAAAAAAAAAAGAAGCTGAAATGAGCAAAAAAAATTGTTGAAAAGTAGATGAAAATGCAGAAAGAAGTCTAAACTACGAGAAGGCTAAAAAAATGTGGAATTAGCTGAAAAAAAACTAAAATTAACATTAAAAACAACTAAATAGTAGCTGAAAGAGCAGAAAAAACTGAAACTAGTAGGAAAAAAAGCTGAAACGAGCATAATAAGCTAAAATTAGCAGAAAGAAGTTTGGCTAAAAGTAGCAAAAATAACTAAATTAAATTTGGAGTTTATATGAAAACAGTTAAAAATAGCTAAAAAGTTAGGTGAAAAGTTAAAACAAGCATAAGAAAGCAGAAAGAACATGTTTGCTGAAAGAAGCAGAAATGAGCACAATAAAGTGGAAATAATCTGAAAAAAGCTGAAATTAGAGAAAAAAACCCAGCTGAAAATAGCTAAAAAGGCAAAAAAAAAGCTGAAATTATAAGTGGATAGAGCACAATTTTTGCTGAAATTAGGTTGAAAAATGTTGAAATGAGTGCAAAAAATGTGGAATTAGCTGAAAAAAATGAAATTAGCATAAAACGGCTATTTAGTAGTCGAAAGAGTAGAAAAAGCTGAAACTTGCAGAAATAAGATGAAAAGAGCAGAACAAGCTGAAATTAGAAGTTAGAAGAAGCACAGAAATGTTGTAGTTAGAAGAAGGAATCTAAAAGGGTCACAAAACAGCTGAAAAAACCCAGATGAAAGTAGCTGATAAAAAGTTCAGATTTGCAGAAGGAAGCTGAAAGCAGCTGAAAGAAGCTGAAAGACACTGAAAGAAGCTGAAAGACGCTGAAAGAAGCTGAAAGCAGCTGAAGCAGAACAAAATGTGAATGGAGCAGTAAACGGTTGTAAACACATCTAAAGATGTGAAGGATGTAAAATGAGCTCAAATCATTTAACGAGGAAAAAAATGGCAGAAAAGGCTAAATATTTCAAAAAGCTAAAGTTGCACCAATACCAAAAGTCATAGCAGGACTGCCCTGAAAGAGCTGAACGTTTTGATGTATGATTTGTTGAAATAGCTTGACAACTTCAGAAACGTTCAGACACCTGAGGTTTTCTACTGTAGTTGTTCGAACCTGTAACGTGCTTCCTTGTTCAGGTTGTTTTTAGTTAAAAAGCATCTCACGGTGTGTGTCTTAGTGTGTACCTGACAAAGCTCGCAGGTTGTTTGCAAAGTAACTGTCTGGCAGCACCTTGTCGATCAAATAGATCATCACCTAAATACAGAACAACAGAGAAAAGCCCAGTTTAGACCCGTTAAAAGGACACGTTTACATTTTTAATGTTTTCTAAGTTACCTTCAGAGCATCGCTCTCGTTGCCTTCTGTAACTTCCAGTATGAGAGCAGCCAGGACGTTAAAGCCTTGGCAGTAACCCACAGCTTTGTTCCAGCGGGCGTACGCCAGCAGCACCCGCTTCAGCACCACCCTGTCCTGCTCCCCCTCCTGGCCACAGTAAGAACTGCAGCCTGTCCTGTGCAGATCCTGTGGGGTCCAAGAGATGATTAGAACCAGCTTCTCACGGGAGGAGAGACAAAACGCGGGCTGGACTTTGTCCCGTTGTTGGTAGGAACCATCTTCTGTTGGATCGGAGTCACCGAGACGTGCACGGTTTCCATGACGCGTCCTTTCTGCTCTCTGACACACGAAAGCAAACATCCTCGCCTAAAAGCTATTCTTCACGGACGGCTCAGATGTCAGGGAGGCACAACGTTTGATCAGCCACACAGCTCATGAATAATGCAAAGCAAACATAAAAAGTTGATTTTTCTTTACTAAACCGTCCTGAAGTTTAGGTTTCAACCGTTTTAAACCGTTCTGTGAAACGCGTCATGTACCGTTAAGTCAAAGCTGCACGTTCAGTGACCCATTGTGATTTGAGATAAGAACCCAACAGAACTGGATTTTAGATCGTCACCGTCTTTTGTATCAAGAATAATAAAAAGTCCAACTTCGTGGTCCAGGTCGAGTCTTCTGTGGAATTTAATTTGCAAGTGGAGCAGGTTTTTATTCTAAAGTCCGTCTTCAAACATGGAACAGAACCAGCCTGCAGTTCTTTTAGAAGAACTTTTCAGGACCGTGTTCATTTGGTCTACGTTCTTGAGCAAAATGAAGCGAATAAGTTCTGGTTACCTTGACGATCTGGATGCCGAGGGAGTCGTCGTCCGGGTTGCTGCGCTCGTTAAAGGCAAAACGAAGAGTTTTCTCCCAGTCGATGGAGATGCTGTGGAGGTACTGGTCTGCCAGTGTGAGCCAAACCTGGAAACATAAAAACAGACGATGAAATCTAACGGAAGCATTCGGAGAAGTGAAACACACTATTTAAAATGAGATCCAAATAAAAATATGAAAAAGACACGCACCCTCTGTCTCCATTCTTTTGGTATCCCAGTAGGAAGCCTGGCCACAGCTTTAAGAGCGTCATACCACTGTAAATATATATATTTATTATTAAAACTCAGCCGTATAAATCTACCAAAGTTAACTTTATTCGTCATCTACAAACACAATTCTAACGAAAAACTAACGGAAGAAAAAAAACGGATGACAACAGTGTGAATGCTTCATAAACATTCACACAATAAACACTGTCGCCCAGAGACGCTCGTCTCCCCGACATGTCGACAACATGTATGACTGACGACAACCTCAGGCGGATTGAGCGACGGCTAAAATACTTTTCGGGAGCAACGAACTGCACCGTTTCGGCGCTCACCTGCTGGAAGCCGTTCTTTCCCAGCGAGGGTTCAATGGTGAACTTCAGCCTCGTGTCAACTCCTGCAACACAAACAGGAACACCTGGTTAGAGGAGGTGACGAGTGGAAGAGAGAACTACGCAGGATGTGTCTTCAGGCTTTGATGTGATCAAAACAGATTTAGTGTAGTTATATATTGGGGGGGGGGTTTGTCCTCTGGATGTTGATGAGTCGCTGTTCATCTCTTCACACCAAACCAGAGCTTAAACTTCTCCATTAACAGACTAAACCCGAAACTGGAGTGAAGACGTGGTGTCGCCTGAGCCCACCGCTCCTGCACAGAATCAGCCGGCTCGTTTTTTTTTTTTTTTTTTTTAAATAACCACCGGTTGGTTTAGCGGGGACAACATGAGCACGTTTCACCTGCACCGTTCGGCTCGGCTGCGGTCTCCTGCGCCATCCTGCTCCCATTCCTCTGCAGGGACTCAGCAGGGGATTAACTCGGAAAACCCTCCTCCTACTTCCTGCTCCAGATTATGCACGTCCAGCACAGAGAGACGCCTCTAGTGTCCTTGTTAAGTAACATACTACAATAATAGTTGTGTGTCTGTTAACAAAATATCTCGTGAACCACTTTGCAAATATGAATGCCATTTTTTAAAAAGTAATTACTGGATGTATATCTATAACTGATTAACATTTGGAGTCAGCTCAGTTCAAGATGGCTGTCACAAACAACTAACGTTAATATACACAAAAATGGCTCCAAGTCAATCAGTTTGATAGATATTGACTGAAAAGTTGTTGTGGTAGTAGCTGAGAGTAATCCCCAACACATAATCTGAGCTCTAACAGATTGTGTAAAATCTCTGATTAAAACTTTGTCATTAATTATTTGGAGTTAGCACTGTCTGTTAGCAAAATATCTCACGAACCACATGATAGATCGTAATGAAACTTTCAGGATATACTAACTGGAAGCACCTCTATAATTTAATAACATTTAGAGCCAACCTATTTCAAGATGACCGCCCCAGCCAGCTGACCTTGGAAAGCACACCGATGGCTATAATTCAGTCTTTCTTACAGCAATGGTGCTAAAATTTAGTGAGGCTGTAGCTGAGAGTCATTCACAACACCGACATTATTCAAGTCATTTGTTTAAAACTTTGTCATTTACTATGTCTCTTTGTTAGCAAAATATTTCCTTAACCGTTGGATGTATTTTAATGAAACCTTTCGGTTGTAACATTTAATTGTAACTGTTTCTTTAACTTTTGGAGTCAATTCAATTGAAGATGCTCACTACAGCTAAATGATAACTACAAGCCAAAAAGTGCCTATATAACCTGGATTTTATGAAGTCTCTTCATGAGTTCATTTTAGTACTTCCTGTTGACAAAAAGTGGTTCAAACACGAGAAGAATAAACATAAACACGTGACGCAATAAGCACAACAAAAAGCAAACTGAACTCTAAGAAGTGAGATGTTTGAATCGAAATCTGCAGATTCACGTTTCCCCCGATTCTGAACGCATAAATGATGCCTTCAGGGACCCTCTGGAAAACAGACTACTGCGTTATTAAACCTTTAAAGAAATGTAATAAAGCGCATGAGAAGAAGTTGAGCAGCGTTCGGTCTCTTCCAAAAGCAGAGGCGTTTTGATTTAAAAAGTCAACCTTTGATAAATAATTAATTTTTTAAAATTTTTATCGATTTCTCGGCGGTTCTGCCGTGTGTGGGTCCAGCCTGAGGTTCGGGTGGATCACCTGGCTCTAAGGTGCAGAGCAGCCTCGGTGCGCTCCTGGAGATCCCGTTCCGTTTCTTCAGGACGTTGCTGATGATGTTTCCGACCCCTCCCGAGCCCTGCTGCCGCTGCCTGCTGCCCCCCCTGGGCCTCCTGCCGGCGGCCGAGAGCCGCTCCTGCCTCATCCCGGAAACAGGCCGCCTTACCCGGACAGTCAGCTCATCGTCGACTGGGAGCGCTTTAGAAAATTTAATCTGCCTTCGCGGTTTCAGCACAAAGCGTGGATCAAATTAACCCGCGCCAATATGGTAGAAAAAAATATTAATCGATCAAAAATGATGGTTCAAACGTGGACGGGAGGTCAGAAATGTCCGCCGTGTTGAAGAGGAAGTGAAGGACCCTGCAGCTGCTGCGCGGTGCTGATGCTGCACCTCCTCATCCTCCTCCGGGCTGGCGTCACCAAGAGGAGGCGCAAAGAGAGAGAGGGGTGCGCGAGGATGGAGAAAGGGTGAGGTAATGGTGGGAGGAGGAGGAGGAGAACGTGCGCGGACACCAGGAAATGGATTTTTCACACATCTTGTACAGAATACATCTTGAGACTCGGTCTGTTTACATACAAATAATTCATGTCAGCAGCCACAAGGAACCACTTCAACACTTAGAATAGCAGAGTCATGTGCACTTTAATGTATATATAGTATTTAAATTATTATATACAAGTGACAACATTTAAAACAACAAGAAAAAAAAACTTAAATAGCATAGTCTGACCTTAGAGGTGCTTGGCCCCCAGTGCTGAAAATGGCTGTTGGTTTGAACTACGCGGTGGCCATTGGCGTCAGAAGCATTTGTAATGTGGGAGGGACACACCCGTGGTGGTGGTGGGGTAGATATCATTTCCTGCATTCTGGTGCATTTTACCAGGTTGTTAAACATCTACATAAGTAAACACTTAACTATTTTCGAGAGCATGGCACAACAAGAAGTAGCCTGACCAACAGCTCTCCTTGTGTGAACAGAGCACGCTCCGCTTCTCCCATGCACCCTAACCCCGCCCCGTTTACATTACACAACCTAATAAACACTTTGTACAAAATCAGTTTAGTGTCAACTGATCATAACAAAGACTAAACTTGTTCAAACAGAAGTTACAACATACATCTACATACAAAACACACAAAACAAAGCACAACTAGCTTTAAGCGTTAACCTTTAATTTAAACATTAAATATACAATGTGATCGACAGAAAACGGAAAATTTAGTTGCGGTTACCTTCGTACAGACGAACATGTGGACTGTTGTATTCAGCTGATCATGAGGTCGTCTGACAGCTTTAATCCAACTTTTACATTTTTCCAAACTTCGTTTAGTTTGTGAAATGTAATAAACTGTATTCCACCCTCAAGCACTCATGTCTGAATTACATGTTCCCCACTAAAAACGCTTAATCGTTTTTTCTGATGAGTTTTCACGAAATCCCTCTGACTGCAAAGCATCCATAAAGCAAAACCCCGACAATGTTATTGGAGGAAAAGGAGGTGCAGCTCCTGCAGGTAAGGGGCGTTTACCTTTGGGACAAACTGTGATTGCTGATTGGGCAGTTGCTTACAAGCCTACTGGACTGACAGACAGCTGGCGTCAAGGCTCCGACTCGTGCAAAAAAATAAAAAATAAAATCAGATTTTACTGGCCCATTTAAGCGTGTCGTCATTTATCCCATTTTTATTCCAAATTTATTAAATATTTTGGTGAATCTAAGGTTTGAGAACTGAGTTTCCTTACAAAATACTAATGATGAATACTTCATTTTTCATGGGTGCAGAGTTAAAATTTAGGGGTGCTTGAGCACCCCCAAAGAGAGACTAAAATCCCTGAATATCAATTTGACTCTTTGCCGATTAACGAGTTCTCCAGATTGTTCCAAATATAGTGAGGGGGGTGAAAGGTGGCCCAGGTAGGATTTCAACACCCACAAAAAGAAGATTAAGACAAAAACTATACGTGTTGAAACAGTTCCAATCCTTATGTGTTGTAATAATGTACTTTATAATTAATTTATCATATTTAGGCATGCACAATCATGTATGATAATTTCAGACACTCCTTAAGTGGAATGTACCACTTTTAAGTTAGCCGCTGTCGCTAGCTTCACCTAATGACTGTTAAACATTATGTCGAAGACAGAAGACTAAAGTAAGCAGATAAGTAAATGTTAAAATATAATATATTCTGTACATTTATTATTATTTTTTGTCAGGAATTAACTAAATTGTGCAAAGTGTTTGAGGGTAAATGCTAATCTTTCCAACATTCACATAGCGATGACTTTTAGTAAGTCATCAATAAAGAAAAGCTAGCTCAAAGTTTTAGCTAGCTTTTCTTTTCAAATATTTATACTCATGTTAGACTTTCATTTTTAAATTGTCCCACAGTTTAGTAGATATTAAACAAAAAAACAAATTAAATTTAGTTTAAAAATCTCAAATATTTATTCTCTCCCTTATATATTTCCATATATCACTTTAGAAAATATATATAACTGCCGGCACTAACGTAGCGCTAAGCTAGCGCGCAGCACAGACGTGGCTCCGCCTCTTTCGGTTCTGCTCACACCTGAGCGGGTCGTGGGTGCTTCACCTGTGATTTATGAACCGTCAGAAGAACTGGTCCGTGCAGCCATTTCATTGTAAATGAGAACTGGTTCTTATGGACCCACCTGGAACAGCGTTGGTCATTCAAGGAACATTGAAAACAGTACACTTGTTTTATTTTGAAAAGCGTAAAAGATTTGACCAGTCAGAGATGGCAGCATCATATGCGTGTAAATTAGGAGTTCTAGTTTTTGTTTTTAATATAGTTTCACATTAGAATTTCACTACTTTTATTGCAAGGAAATAAATCTAAAGGAATTTCATTGAATTACACGTTTGGGTTATTTTTATTGCATTTTTGATTCGATGCAGCAAAACAAACAAATTCAAAAGGTAACATAACTCCTGGAAGTCCGGCCCCTGAGCTGTTGGCTTTCAGTAATTGTGGCCCACAGAGCAGTTGAGTTGAATACTCCTGAGCTATACTATTGTATACTATTTACTATTCTGCAAAAGGTATTTGGACACACCTGTTAAATGATGATCCAGATGTTTCAGTCACCTGAAAAAGCCTTTTGGATGAGATGTAAAACGTCTTCAAGTGTCAAGGCAAGTCCAGTTGCCTTTTATTGAACCACTTTGGATCAGGATGAATGAGAATCAAGGTCAGGGTTCTTTGTCATTCGCATCACATGTGGTACTTGAGGCGGAACGAAATTGTGTACACAGGGTCCCAGTTACATCCAACAGTAGCAAAAACGTAAAGTGTATAAATAAGGATCTAAGACATACGCTAAACGGTATGCTAAAAGATCTAAGATATATGCTAGTCATTAACATTGCAATGCAAATCAATACACCGAACAACAGCAGCACGAACATGAGTCTTTGTGGGTGGATGAGCACAAACGGATGACTACAGCAGCATCAAATAATCAGCAGCATGAAATAATCAGCAGCACGTATCAATAATCAAGTGGCATTGCAGTGATTTTTTTTTTCACAGTGATTATCCTGGTTAGAGATTCATGAGACTAACAGCCTCAGGGTAGAAGCTGTTCCTCAGTCTAGTGGTTCTACACTTAATGCTTCTTAATCTCATTCCTAAGGGGAGCGGGGCAAAAAGTGTGTGTGCTGGGTGAGTGGGGTCCTTCATGATGCAGGTGGCCCTCTTCCTGCATCTGGAGGTGTAGATGTTCATGACGGTGGGGAGGCTGACTCCAACAGACTTCTGTGCAGCCTTCACCACTCTCTGCGGAGCTTTTCTTTCTGCAGCTGCGCAGCCTCCATGCCACATGTTGATGCTGGAGCGCAGGATGCACAGCACCTTTTGCATGTGAACGACAAGTTCTGGATGTCACCAGCAAACTGGTTGATCCGCTATGAGAAGGTGCTATTTAAGACTGAGCTTGGTGCAACTCCTCAGACCGAAGAGGTTTTTTGGATAGAAGACGAAACGTTCCAACAAAGAATCTGTCCAGAGGACCAGACTCAACCTTGTTCCATCAGGATTGTGATATAAATATTTGGAAAACAAAACACTGAACTTAAAGAGTTTTCGGAGTAACTTAAAGGATATACAAGAACCTTGCTCCCACGTGACGAGAGCTTTAGGTTGGAAGCTTTAGACAACTTCCAGCCTGTTGTGTAAATTTACACACTGCAGTTGTTAAGCCCCTTATTGTAAGAGGACAACATAACGTGCACCTTTTTATCTTATGTTACCACACAATCATTGGATTGCTGTGCAAAATTTATGTGTTTAAAGTTTGTGATGACTTGCCTGAATAGATGTCAAATAATCTTTACTTAAAAAAAATAATAGATGAACAGATTACACCAACAACTGATGCTGTAACCAGTTTGAAATGTAGATTACCAGACCATGCAGCATTGGTGCTGTCCAAATATGTGAGGGACAAAATACATCCCTTTCCATGTGTAACACGTAAACTCAGCATATTATATTTGGTAGTAAATGGGGGGGGAAAGCTCATGTTTGTCTTACGTCGCTTTTGTGAGACAGCCTGAAGGCACGCTGTGATGATGTCATAGTTTTTCTGCCGTTTGTGGCAAAGTCGGTCGCGTCTCCTCAGCTGGCGGATCAGCTTGGCTGACTGCAGGCAGGATCGATATTTGACCTCCTGGATGATGGACTGCAGCTCCTCCAGGTCTGAAATAACAAGCGTTAAATATATAAAATGTATTTTGGTAAGTAAAACTGTCAGCTGGGAGGAGACGAGGACAAGCTCAAAAGCCTCATGTCAAACTTCTCCACCAATAGCTACTCATCCTACTTTTTAACTTTATATTTTATTTATTCTGTTTTATGGTCATCACACTAATCTGTTCAGTCAGGTCTCAATTTGGTTTTTTTAACAACCCAGCATCAGTTTTTAACGAGACATTTCCTCCCCTGATAGACCAGCAAATCAGTCTGTTTTCCACGCTGCAGGCCAAAATAAAACCAGAACACTTGCTTCATATAAACACACGCACACACACACACACACGCACGCACACACATGAACACACACACACACGCAGCCTCGATTCAGAAACATAACCTTGAAAATCTGATTTTGGCTCAAATTGACCCAAATTTCACAAAGATATCTTCAAGATTTTCATGAGAACTCATTTCTTGCATGAATTAAAAGTTGTTTACAGCAAACCGTTTATTTAGCTAGCTTACTGAACAAACAGTTCCAACTTTCATGAAAACAAGCGTGAACAAAAAGCAGAGAGAAAGTGGCGATGCCAATGTTCCCGTCGCTCAGAGATATGAACAGTGAATGTTTGTAGTTTTCAAGACGAGTGTTTTTCTAGAGTGGAACTGCACAGGGAATGCAAGTGAACCTTAATGTTTTTGTTGCAAGACATTCAAGTGGGTAGACATGACACTGTGGAGAACAGAGGGAGTTTTCTTTTTTCTTGTCCAAGGCAATGCTAAGTGACAAATACTGGCAAACAGGGAGCAATAAGAAATAATCTCTCTTCTCCTTAATCTAGGCCTAGATTAGGGGTCTGCAACCTGCGGCTCTGAAGCTACATGCAGCCCTTTGGTTCCTTTGCAGCGGCTCTTTCAAACTTTGACCAAAACAAACAAACAAACAAACAAACAAACACTGTAGTTTTAACAGTTTCATGTCATTTCTTTTGCAAATTTGTGAATACTAGTACTATTACATGGAGTAAAACATACTCACTTTAACTTCATGCTTTATTTCTTTAAAGTACTTAATTTTGCCACGATAATTAAAAAAAAAAAAAATCACTAGACCTGCATAAACTCTTTTGAAAAATTGGTAAAAACTATATATATATATATATAAAAATAAAAAAAAATCCTTCTTTACAATAATCCAGTCTTTTTTCCCTCACTAGCTCTCGTACGAGGCGACCGCGTTCTCTTCCCTCTCCTGTTCTCCTGCTTTTTGCGCTCCGTCTGTGTATCAGAGCTCCTATTTTTACACAGCTTCTGAAACTAAAACTACTGTTATGGATCTGATCAGCTGGACTTTCGACGCAATCGACAAAATCATTTCAACAAAGCGACAGAGTCCTGGGGAGCCCTCATGTCCCGCTGAGAATCTCAGGAGGACGCTGAAGTTTGATTTATGATAACGGGTTTCCTGCTTTTTGGAATCGACTGGTTCCTGGTCTGTCAACATACAAGAAGACGTCCTGGTCAGGCTGCCTGCCTTGTGAAGGTTTGGTTCGTGCTTTGAGGACTCAAAATCAGCTGATTCACGAGCTAAACCGTAAGATAGAAGTGATTTGAATCACAGGCCACCTGCGGCTTTGGGACTCGCCAGCATGAAACAACCTTGATGAGGCTCGTAAGCACGGACCAGTAGAATGCACCCTAAACTACCTCCTCCGGATATTTTAATTTAGTGAACAAAGGGGCAGAAATGGCTCTTTGGATCGTCAGGGTTGCAGATTTCAAATCATGCTCACAACATGCACGGACGGACAAACAGAAGGTATTTCCAATTCCCCCTTTTTGCTCCGCTATGGAGAACAAAAAATAATAATACATTTTTGTCAGTCATTGTGACCGCCAAGAAAACTTAATTACTGCCCGTGAAAGGAGGGCAATCGTAACTGCCTGTGTCTGTCTGTTAGCAAAATATTCCATGAACCACTAGACAATTTTGAATAAAACTCTCAGAAACTAATCCCTGGATGGAGCTGCTGTTTACGTCAAAAGCCAATCAACCTTAGAAAATGCAAAAATGTCTATACCTTAGTCCGTTTTGCAGATACTGAGCTATTCTGCATGGTAGTAGCTGAGAGTCATGCTCAACCCATACTGAGTGCTATCAGACCACGTGAACTCTTTACAGTTTTGGCATGTTATTCCACTAAGGAGTGCTAGTTTCATTAAAATTAAGAAGTCTTCTTTAAAATGCTCAAAACTATAATTGTTAGTACTTGCTGTTATTTTTATTCAAAATATTTTATAAAATCTTTAGTGCTTTAGCTCTGTGAAGCCTCTTTGATTGCATTTTCATTATAAATCTTTAACCTATCAAACAATTTGAGTAGTCCTAAAATAAGACCCTTCAATGAGCAACAGTCAATTTAACAGTCATTTGTTGCAATTTGGGCAATATTACAAAAGTTGAAGGTTTTTGTCAGCATTTCCTCCAAAATAAAATAAAAAATATGTCACTGTAGTTTTTTTGTTAAACACCAGCTTGGTTGACTAATTATTCTAAATTTGACATTTTCCAAAGGGCAGATAAATAGGCCTGTCACGATAACAAATTTTGCTGGAAGATTAATTGTCTCAGAAATTATTGCGATAAACGATAATATTGTTTGAAATTTGACAACAATTAGTAATGTCAAATTTAAGAAGAAATGTTGGTTAATTTTTGTGTAGTATCTTTTTTCAACCACTGGATGGCAGTATAAGACTGTTTGAATCGAAGGATGGATAGTGAGGGAGCGAGCAGCGTGTCTCTTTAAGAAAAATGGGAGGGAGGCCCCTTGATGTGACATGAGCCGTCTCTCCTTCCTGTTTTTCAATTCTCAAAATGGCAGCTGCACGCTGTTGTTTGAGCTCTTTAGCATAGCATTTTTCACACAAAGCTTTTAATAAAAATATCAGTAAACAAGTTCTCAGCTTCTTTTTGCAGAGAAAAACTTTTTACACGAAGGCACGGGTTTCAACCGTGAATTTTGGAGCTTTAATAAGACCGATGTTTCCCCCTGAGGTCGGCCTGTTAGCTTAGATTGTAGCTTAGCTTCTCAGTTTAGCTGCTTTTAACCGTCCAAAAATGCAATTTTGGACGGTTACAACAGATTTGAAAGAGAAAGTGAGGGGTCAGTGAAGAGCACCGGTGTTGAGCTTTTTATCGTCCAGTGTCTTCAGTAGAAAGAGAGAGCTGCGAAGAAACGGTAAATGAAAATGAGGTTAATAATTTTTATTTAACATGCGATTAATCGATGTATTGTTTATCGCGACAGGCCTACAGGTACGTTTTCTTACAAATCGTTAAGCGTCTAATCAAACACACGAGTAAAGACATGTGTTTTGGCAGCTCTTTCAGAAATCATCAAAGCATTTCCTCTTCCTGAGTGACAGCTCTCAGCATTGTTTAACTTTAAATGTGTGTGAAGAGCAAACACTGAGCTCACACGGCGTGGCTGCGTTTATTCCCTTCAACAGAGGAAACGATGGCTGCACGGCGCTCACTGTTACATACCATAACGACTCCCAGGTAACACACAACGAACTGATCCTCTCCGACTGCGTCAGGATATGTTATTAGGCTGCATCCTGTGAAACAGGCCTGGTCTCCGGAAGTTTAGCTTCGGTAAAAAATACTTATCTAATCGAAGTGAACACGCGCAGAAAATGCAAGCAATTCTTTACCTAAAACAACAGCTTTTTAAATTTACAGAGTATGAACCGACGGCATTTGAAAGGACAATAAAATAATTCATAAAACCCAAATGAAGGTGATCCAACTCTCACATTAAAGTGCATGCTCAATGATCCAGGTAAAATATCCAACAAAGTTTAGTCATCTGGACGGTTTCTTTTTTTGTTGCGATGTCCTTTGGATGAAGACGAAACGTCTCAACAAAAAAAAAAAAAAAATGTCAAGATGACCTGACCGTGGGGCCTCACATTACTAAAATCCTAAAAATGAGACACTAAACTTTATTAAGTGCATGACTGGGTCATTTGTAGTTGGAAATATAAACATTCATAAATATTTTCTTAAGATTTTAAGGGCCTTAAAGCAACTGTTTCACAGATTAAGTGGAATTAGGACAAATGACAATGTACTTTAAACAATTTTGTCAGATAAAATGCTGATTTTGACTCAGCTTTTAGTAACACAACTTTGATTTAAACACTTATTCTTTTTTCCCCATGTAGGGTTGTGGGGAGCTGGAGCCCATCTCCGGCGAACGCTGCGTGAAAAGCAGGACAGGTCAAACGTCCATCACAGGGACACACAACCATTCACACTCTAGTTAAAACCACAAAATCTATCAGGCAACGATAGTTATGGCACATAATGACAACAACTGCTTCCAAGTATACAAAACAAGTCATGCATTATTTAAATCTAACTTCGCTGGGACTGTATGTATTTAGGGTGATTTTCTTTATACGGTATAAAGAAGATAAATGTAAGACAAAAACATTATGAATATACATTTCTGATAAGATCCCATGTAAATCCAACTATAAGGAAATATCTGCATGAATCATTAAATTAAATTTATATAGCGTCAAGTCACAACAGAAGTCATCTCAGGACACTGAACAGAAACATTCATAAAAAGTCAGTTAACGTTATTTATGGTAAATGGACTGTACTTATATAGCTCCTTTCTATCTTATCAAGATACTCAAAGCTCTTTACATCACAACCTGTGCCTCATTTACCCGTTCATACAGCACTCTACTGGATCTATACAAAGCTAATGAACAAATCATTCTAAAGAGACTAATCAGAGTTTTATCACATTCAGACACCGATGGGACACACATCAGAGGCAATGAGGGGTTCAGTGTCTTGCCCAGGGGCACTTCAGCATGTGACTGCTGGTGGATTCGAACCCCCAACTCTTGCATTGGAGGACGACTGCTCAGCCACAGCTGCCCTTTTATCTGAGGAGCAGACTGCTTTGAGTTTAACTCCATCACAAACTCATCTTGAGCATGAAGGTGACAGAGGAATGGGAAAAACTCCCTCACGCAGAAGAAACCTTTAGCTTTAGGGTTTGAGAGGACAGGAAGGAGGAACAGATACACAATGGCAGGTCAAGAGTCATGTTAAGTTAGAAATAGTATCAAATGAAAACTATTCAAATGTAACAATTAATTTAAGGAAATTAGGTCAAATTGTCCTCTGGTACTCTAAGCCTATAGCAGCATAACAAGCCAACCCTAACTATAGGATTTATCAAAAAGGAAAGACTTAAGCCCAGTCTTCAAACTGGACAATGTGTCAGCCTCATGGACAGAAACTGGAAGTTGGTTCCACAAGAGAGGAGCCTGATAACTGAAAGATCTTCCTCTCATTCTGCTTTTGGAAACTCTAGGAACCACAAGTAAACCTGCAGTCTGAGAGTGAAGTGCTCTGTTAGGAAAATATGGAACAATAAGAAATTGAATATAAGATGGAGCTAGGTTGTTGAGAGCTTTGTAGGTTAGAAGTAAGATTTTGAATTCAATTCTGGATTTGACAGGGAGCCAATGGAGAGAAACTAAAACTGGAGAGATATGATCTCTCCCACTAACTCCAGTTCAGACTCTGGCAGCAGCATTTTGGATCAACTGAGGACTTTTTAAAGAAGTATTTGGACACCCAGATAATAAACCATTGCAATAAAATTAAACTACTACTACTAATAATACTAATAATCAATAAAACAAAGTAAAAAGCCTGGAATGGTTTAAATTGAGATTTTAACTGTATGTTTGAGGAGCAGTCTATTTACTGGACGTGTCAGCATCCCTCACCTTTCTGGGCCAGGTAGTTCACCTGGTGCCTCCTGGTGTGCTTCTCCTGCAGCTCCTGGAGGAAACCGGAGCCGCAGTTACTGCGGCCCAGGAAGGCATCCGAACCGGACGCCTCCGTGGAGCTGTCCCAGCTGTCCACATTCCTCCTGCTGCCTCCGTACGTCTCGTAGAGCTCCACCAGCAGGCAGTCCACTATGGAGGTCCGCGGGACTTTGGCTCCGTCTCCCGGGGACTCAGAGTCGCCATGGGCGGCCGAGCTGCTCCTTCGGGGGGCAGGCGGTGCCTCCTGCTCCGGTGATGATGTGTCATTTGTCGTGTGGGCCGGGTCCGGGTCGGTCCACCGCTGGAAGCCGCAGAAATCATCGATCGACGCGCTACAGTTCACATAAACTCCACTCTCGTCCTCGGAACACACGACGCCGTCACATATGTCAACTTCTAAAAGTTCCTCCCTGCTCGTTTTCAGCTCCAACGACATTTTTAGTATCAACTCTTCACGCTGGCTGACTGATCCCCTGCTTCTTGTTTTTTAATGTTTGTTATCATTTCTCTGGATGACATGGAGGAGTTTGGAAAGTTTTCTTGGAGCGTGTTCCTGGAACACTCCATTCCTCACCTCCAGGAGGGGTGGACCCGTCTGACCACTTTATTTTCCTTCCTGACAGTTCCGGGGTCGGACTCCCTATCCCCCCTCCCGGGGCTGAACAATGGGCCGGCCCACTTCAACTTCTCAACGGCTGCCAAACTTTCTTCAGGTCGCGCGACAGGTGTAGCAGGTGCCTCGAGGCGCTCGGTTGACCAATCAGAAAGAAGACGAAAATGAATCGACCAATCCGCTTTCATAGATAACTCTTCAGCGAGTATTTATACAGAAAACAGGCTAATATTGTTTATAATTATTTATTTTATATTGAACGATGCGTCTTTAAACGTAGAAGCAATGACTTACTTTTAAATGTTTTCAATACTGATAAAAAAAAAACCTGCTGCTATTTAAATTATAAAAACTGTTTAAATGGCATGATATCTGTTCAAATCCCTGAAGCATTTTGATTATTATATTTTATGAAATTATAAAAATGGAAAAGTTAAGATTAAGGGCGGCACAGTGGCGCAGTTGGTATAGCGGCTGCCACTCAGCGAGTAGGTCGCCGGATTGAATCCCAACCAAGGGCCTTTCTAGGTGGAGTTTGTAAGAAGTGGGTAAAGATGATGGATGGATGGAAGTTAAGATTAACATCTTATCTTATTGCAGCCTGACATGATAAACAACTGTCCTAAACAATTTAAAATTTCAAGAACAATCACAATATTGACTGACGGTTTAAATTGTTGTCAAAGAAATAAACTGTATTTTATAAACCCAGCTTTGAGTTATAGTGACGCATTATCATTTAAAGTGATGATGCACAAACAAGATTAATGTTACAAGAAAAACAAAACTATTTTCTAAAAACTGTGAAATGGCTTTAAATTTCCACTGCAGTGACACATTTTTATAAGTTCAGCTGGAGTCACAAAAGATTCAAAGGTCATGCAAAAATGTTTCTAATGTCTTTCATATCGTCAAATTATTTGGAAACAGCAACTTTATTAGTTGTGAAAAGTACATTACAAAGAAATGAAGTATTTCAAGAATAAAAATGGAGATGTGTTTATTGCTACATGGAAGACAAAACTGTACAATAATAATAATTTAAAAAATATATCATCAACAAATCTAAATAATCCAGAGAATCAGTTTGTCCAGTCTTGAATATGAAGCAACCTACAACATGCTGTAATTTAAATATCATGCTTTGTATTATAATAGACTTAGGTTCAAGCTAATTGTAATGTATTGCAATTAAATACACTGAGGTTCAAATTATGACCCCCTCATGCCACATCACCTGAGCAGGAAACTTTAAATGTTACTACTAGTATTTTTTTTACTTATATGGTTTGTACATTGTGTGTCTCATATTTTTCAGTGCCACTGCTATACATTAATTTAATTCTTACAGTGACAATATTCTAATCCTTAATTTAATCCAGCACAATTCAGTACAGTCAGATTCAGGTGTGTTGCTGATTATAAAACAAATTGTCAAGTCTGCTAACAAAATCACTGGTTTCCACTGTATTTTCACTTAAATCTTTCCCGTTAGGTAAAAATGAAAAAAATAAATCTTTTAAAAGCTCAAATGTCTGATTTGTGAATATTATTCAATCCCGATGATTATAAACATTTTCGAGTATGTTTTTCATCAGCATCTGTTTTTATTTTCTATTTTAAAAACTCGAATAAACTGCAGAAGGTTGGTCCGTCCACTCGAGCTTCCGTAGCAAAGCGGCGTCACATGACCAGCTAACGGGAAGAGCGTTTTCATCAATTGCCTTGTTTCTCTACTCGGTTATTTCTCCTCCTAACACTTTTTAACTCCCATTTCGCCTCGGTACACGGTGCTGAGCCGCGTCTGAAGGCCGTCAGCTCCAGTAGTTTGTATTTAAATGGACAAAATGAGGTCGAATCGCTGCTGTCACTCCATCTTGTTGTGTTTTATCTGCGTCACGTTCAGCTCCGGGCTGTTCGGTCCATCTCTCCGGAGACCCAACATTGTTTTGATCCTTACAGATGACCTGGACGTCGCTATCGGGGGGCTGGTTAGTAGATTTTATTATATGACTCATTTCTTAACCTGATTTTATAGAAGTGGAGGATTGTCATGTAGAAAATCAAACATTAAGTCTGATTTAATCTTTAAGTCCTGTTTAATAAAGCTGACGGTTCACATTAGTAGGACAGAAGATTTATCATGTAAAGTATACACTAATAAACAACCAAAACAGCCCCCCCCCCCCCTTTTAAATGAGTTCTTGACCTGTTTAATGTGCAAGCTTTAATAGATTTAAATGAAATATTTCAGGAAAGGGTTTTGTCCTATTAGCAAGACACACTTTGATTTGTTTGCACTCTTAAACAAACTAACTGGACGTTTATTAACCCTTATTGGATAATCACATTACATGCTCTAATCTCACAAAACAGAAACTAGTAAATCTGTTTTAAAGCTTGTAGCACATCATGAAACTCAAGTTTCTTCACTGTGAGCTCTACACAAGATGTGATGACTTCTTTAGTTTCACCAAGTTGAGTGGTTGGAGAGGAGATGACTGAAATCAAACTTGACTAAAGTATCTTTACGGTGACATCATGTTTTCTGGATGGCTTTTGAACTGTCAACAAGAGAAGGGAGATTTCATTTCGGAGCCCTGCAGAGTCTGGGTTTGTTATCTATGGTAGTCTTTAGAAACCACTGGGACATTAAGCTTATCACACTCCAAACAAAGAGTCCAGAGACCCGAGTGTTATGTGAACCGAACGATTAAAAAACAAACTTTAGTGAAGTGGGTGCAGAAAAATCCTTCCAAATGCTGATAATTGTTACTTTGAAAAAGCTACAAGTTCTACCAATGATCCGGGTCACGGCACCAACTGTTAAAGACGTGAGCTGGCTGCGGACCACCGGATCCAGAAACCCCCTCCATCCCACGTCTTTACCCCCGGCTCGAACCTCCCTCAGAAGTGGCAACTATAGTAATCAAGGAAACGTCAATTAAGTTTTATCAATTATATTAGAAAAGGCAGGAAAAGATTACAATTTACAGCGCTGGACTCTCCTATTGAAATCCCAGGGAGACTCTTTTTAGAGTTGCTGGCCCAGTTTAACACAGTCAGAACTGGGTCATAATTTCATTATAATCCCGTCTCTGAGCAGATCAAAACCATAGGACCAGTCTAGAATAAAAATATCTTAACAACTCCAAAAAAAAAAAAAAGAAGTGACTTCCAGCAACTGCGGCGACAGTGCATGAGCGTAGTGGGGTAAAAAACAAGACGCACAGACCTGTATTTCATGAACACATAAGAGATCTGTGTGACTGTGTTTTCTGTAGTACACTTAAGAGACACAGTGTTGTAGCTGCAGTACTTTCACAGGTTTTTTTTTTCATTCGAACTTTATTTAGACAGGTTAATCCCATTGAGCCCCGGGGACTAATTTACAAGAGAGACCTGAGGTTACACAGAGCTGAGCTCCATCTTTGACGTGTCCTGTTCTGCGGCCATGCAGGACCGTACGATAAGAGGTTTCAGTGAGCAGCAAGTTGAGTTCTGCTTCAAGTTGTTGATGAGCTTTAAACATTTATGAGCCAGGCTGCGTTTTTATTTTAAGATCAAGATTCTCAAGGAAAGTAGATGAATGTAGCTTCACCTTGCTCACTGATGTTGTTTCTCACAAGGAAATATGTACAATATCAGATAATTGATATGAAGTAGATGCATTTCATTGTGTTTTAGAATCCGCTGACAAAGACTAAAAAACTCATCGGTGATGCAGGGATATCCTTCACAAACGCAGTAAGTTTCACCACTTTCGTTGCGTCGTTTAGGATGATTCACTTTTCTTCGAATGACTGTTTTCTTGACTTTTTCCTCTGCGTTTCAGTTTGTTGCCAGCCCTCTGTGCTGCCCCAGTCGAGCCAGCATCCTGACGGGAAAGTACCCTCACAACCACCGTGTCATCAACAACACCTTGGAAGGAAACTGCAGCAGCAGAGCCTGGCAGAAGAGCGAAGAAGGCCACACTTTCCCCGCCTTACTGAAAAATTACGCAGGCTACCAGACCTTTTTCGCTGGAAAATACCTTAACCAGGTAAAAATATTTAACTGTTGCAATTTTTGTTCATTTTCTGTTGGGGTTCAAATGTTTTACTCAGAGAAACAGAGTTAATATCACGTTTGCATTGGCCATGTGCACATCAGTGGTGATTAATTTCCTGTTTACATCCTGCTTTGAAATTAGGATTTTTCAAGAGTTTGAAAACCCAAAGTTCACTTCAAAGGGATTCATTGTCTTCCAAAGCACTCTTGTGTTGTTGAAATCTTTTTGTAGACCTGCAGGATGCCCACTGTTTGGTAGTTTCACGCGACTAAATCAAAAACAAGTGGCTATGTTGCATTAACAGTGAACAGCTAATCAGAATTTCAAGGTGTAAGGTGCAGCTCTGAAAACCGACAGACGATGGACGGGGCCCCAACTGATATCTAAGTATAGTGCAAAACAGTAATTAAGGCAAAAAAAGACAAAATCATGCATAGCTTTATTAGTCAGAAACTACCTGATTAATCAAATTTAGGCTGTAAAAACAGGACTGAATAACAAATTGTGACATCAAAACAAAGGTTGCATACAAATATTAATCCTAGATTCCTAATGTCATGGGCGATAATTGGAACCCAACCAATATATCGGTAGGGCCGATAATTTAGGCCGATATAGACTTTTGAGAACATGTCGGTATCTGTGATAATTGTCCCATTATTCACTGATATATTATAAGCACTTGTAATTTTCATCCCTAAAATGCTGGAACCAGCTGTAATTGTGCAATGTATCCAGTAGAGGGCGCATGAAGACTACTTTCAAGTCATGTCGTTCACTTAAGTTTCACTTTCATGTTTGGCATAGACGAAGCAGGGAGCAATACTGTGTAGCGTATTTTGCTGAACAGAGCATGGTAAGTTTATTTTAACTGATCTGTAAATTAAAATAAATCAACAATAATAAATTATCTTCAATCCTACAACCCACTTGTCATTAGTTACACGCCTCTCAAGTTTACAAGCTAACGTTTAGATAACCTAACATAGGCTATTGCCTTGTAAAACTTTATTTAGAACAATAAATCTAATGTAGAGGTAAATACAGACCCTTTCCAAAAAAAATAAAACATCATGGAAGAGTTGTTTAACTTCCATAATTCCATTCAAAAAGTTGATCTTTAATAGATGATAGATTCAGGGCCCACAATTTAAACAATTTCAAGTATTTGTTTATTTTTACATAATTTGGGCTTCCAGCTCATGAAACCCACGAAAATAGGATTAAAAAAAAAAATTAGAATACTGTGAAGACGTCAGCCCACACTACTTCTCAGTTTTTGCAGAATAAAAGAAAGAAATTAGGATCACAACAAATCAATAAAAATATGGTACTTTCAAAACGATACGTCAATCTTCAATACTTGGTTGGGAATCTCTTTGCCTTAATCACTGCCTCGATGTGACGTGGCATTGAGGCAATCAGTCTGTAGCATTGACTGGGAGTTATGGAAGCCCAGATTTCCTTGATGCTTGCTGTCAGCTCTTCTTTGTTGTTGGGTCTGGTGCCTCTCCCTCATTTTCCTCTTGAGAACACTCCATAGATTCTCAGTGGGGTTTAGGTCCAGCGAGTTTGCTGGCCAGTCAAGCACTGTGGCATGGACATCAAACCAGGTTTTGGTGCTTCTGGTGGCATGGGCAGGGGCCAGGTCCTGCTGGAAGATGAAATCTGCATCTCCATACAGATCCTCAGCAGAAGGAATCATGAAGTCCTCTAAAACATTCTGGTAGACTGTTGCGGTGACCCTGGATTTAAGAAAGCAGAGTTTACCAACACCTGCACCGAACATTGCACCCCAAATCATGACTGACTGTGGATATTTCACACTGGACCTCAAGCAGTATGGGCTCTGTTCCTCACCCTTCTTCCTCCAAAACCTTGGACCTTGATTTCCAAATGAAAGGCACACTTTACTTTCACTGGAAAAACAGGACTAAGGAACCCGTCTGAATGTGGTGGTTTTTGAAGCTGTGACTCCTGCTTCATTCCACTCTTTCTGGATCTCTGCCAGATTCTGGAATCTTCTCTGTTTGATAATCTGCTGTAGCCCACGGTCATCTTTTCCAGCCACATTTTGCCCTTCCACTAGACTTTCCATTGATATGCTTGGACACAGCACTCTGTGAACAGTCAGTCTCCTTAGCTATGAACTTTTGTGGCTCACCCATCCTATGGAGGGTATCAATGATGGTCTTCTGGCCAGTTATGTCTGCAGTCTTCCCCATATTGAACCGAACTCAGACAATTAAACCAAACTGAAGCAATTTAATGACACCTGGGGAAACCTGTGTGGGTGCTTTGAGTTTAGTAGATGATCAGTGTCACACTCAGTTTAAAACATTCATGTCCTGCAACATTTGGGCTGATTTCTCCACAGTATTCTAATTTTTTGAAATCCTGTTTTCATAGGTTTCATGAGCTGGAAGCCCAAATTATGTTAAAATAAACAAATACTTGAACTTGTTTAAATTGTGGGCCCTGAATCTATAATTTATTAAAGATTAACTTTTTGAATGGAATTATGGAAGTGAAATAACTTTTCCATGATATTCAAATTTTTTGGAAAGGGTCTGCATATGTCAGTGTTAGTAACGTTATCTTTGTCGTCCTCAGTGAAATGCAATGTTTGTCTGAAATCTTTACTTCTCTGCAAAGAAAAAAATAAACTCTGCTGCTAATTAGATACAGATACTAATTAGATCTTCACCATACTTGACTGTTTAAACAATGAACAGAAGGGCATTTCTTTGTTTAATTTATATTTTTGTAACACACTTGATATATTTATGGTGAATAGTGGAGGATAGAAAATGTGAATGCACGTTGGAAAAACTGTTTTTATGACCAGTGCACCACTTGTAAACCTACTGTGGGTCTACATATAGCTTGGATCTGATTAGCTTAGCTTCATGGTTGCTAACAGCTGCGCTAAATAAACAAGCTCCGCTCCACTCACTGTTTCTTAGATTCTTGGTGGTGGACAAAGCTCAAAAATGTTCAGCCATTATATCTGTTATCAGCATTAGCATCGGTGATAGCCAAAATTTCCATATCAGTCGGGCTCAAGTGATGATATTCAACATACTGCCAGGGTTGTTGCTATGGTCCTGATAAGTCTAGGAAAAGGCAGGACACACAACATATGAAGCCCAGACAATTTTTTAAAAAGTTTTTGACAAAGCTTTAATTGTCATTAAATCCTCTGAACAAAAATGCAGACTGGGAGGCCTGGTTAAAACAAAAAAAAGAGGGAGAAGCCCCGAACCAACCGTCGGATTCGGGCCGCTCCCCTCGCCCTATAACCCAGGGACTAACCCTACAACCAAAAACCGGAAAACCTAAATTACACAGGTGACTCCCAGTCCCAAAAACAAGTAGCTCAACAACAACTGTGACAAGGTGCAATAAACAGTGTCCGGAGCGGGCGCAAGGCTGGAGAACAAGAACCGTCAACCATCAGACCAACATCTCCTCTGGACTCCCTCGCTCGTCCAGCAGGCGGAGCTTGGTCCTTTTAAGCCCCCCTCAGCCAATCAGCTGCACAGAAATCAGCTGCACAGAAAAGAGCATTAATTACAAACACACACACAGACATAATTGACGCAGGGGCACATCACAGTTGTGTCCAAAAGAACTAAAGGATTTTAGGAGGTGCAGCAGAATAATCTCTGATGTTTATTTATCCTGGGTTTAATATCAGAACAGTAAGTTGTAAGAGTCAGAATGCTGCTAAGGTCTGTGGGTTTTATCTGTAAAACAAAAAATGTTAATGCATATTATGGGCTTCAGTAAACTGTCTTAAGAGTCATGTACATGGAGAACAGAATGCAGTGTTTCCCCTAGTTGACTTGCCATGGCAGGGTGCTCAACTCATCCATGATTTTTGTTTACGTGGGGGCCAGAGACACATCTGAGCCGCACGCAGTTTGTACCGACAGTTTTCTAGGGTGGGAGTTCAGTGTGAGGGAAGAGGCTGCCTTTAGCCTTTTAGCTAGCGCACCTGTATTGCGAGCTGCTAGCTTAGCGTAACGTCAGTGCCGACAGGTGGGGATGGGGTTCTGTTGACGGGGCAGGGTGCCCCGCTTGTACAATGGTTGGGGAAACACTGGGCCACATCTTGACTGTTCATTTGTCATTAAAATGTCTAGGCCTGTTGCGATAAACAACAAATCAATTAATCGAATGATAAATGAAAATTATCAACCTCATTTTCATTTATCGGATTATCGTTTCTTCGTGTCTCTCTCTTTCTACTGAAGACACTGGATGATAAAAAGCTCAACTCCGGTGTTCTTCACTGACTCCGCCCTTTCTCTTTTCTCTTTAAAATCAGTTTTAACCGTCCAAAATTGCGTTTTTGGATCGTTAAAAGGAGCTAACCTGAGAAGCTAAGCTACGAGCTAAGCTAACAGACCGACCTCGGGGATAAAAACCTCCGTCTTTTCGAAGCTACAAAATTCACAGTTGAAACCCGTGCCTTCATGTAAAATTATTTTTCTCAGCAAAAAGAAGCTGAGAACTTGTTTACTGATTTTTTAAATTAAAAGCTTTGTGTGAAAAATGCTAATGCTACAGAGCTCAAACCACACCGAGCATTCGCCATTTTGAGAATCAGAGAGAGACAGCCCATGTCATGTCAAGGGGCCTCCCTCCCATTTTTCTTAAAGAGACACACTGCTCGCTCCCTCACAATCCATCCTTCTGTTCAAACAGTCTTATACTGCCATCTGGTGGTCAAAAAGGTACTACATGCAAAACAAATGAACATTTCTTCTTAAATTTGACAATAATTACTACTTATTGTCAAATTTCAAACAATATTATCGTTTATCGCAATAATTTCTGAGACAATTAATCGCCCAGAAAAATTTGTTATCATGACGGGCCTAAAAATGTCTGCATTTGATCTTGTGCTTTCCAGTATGGCCACTCTGAAGCTGGTGGATTGGAGCATGTCCCTCTAGGCTGGAGCTACTGGGTCGCACTGGTAAGTTGGAAAGTTCAGCCCAACATTCTGAAGACACTCTTAAGCCTGGAAACATGTTTTAATTTAAAACTCCAGCATTAGGAGCAAAAATGAATTTGCTTGAGACTGATATATTAGCTGTATTAGTAAGAATCCATGTGTAGATTGTGACGGCAGCGGTTATAAATATGCATTAACAATTTGAATACAAGTAAAATAAAGAGGTACAATAAATGTTTGTGTTGTCTGAAGAATCCTAACTTTTAGTTGTATGAAACAGTGAGCACTTGAGTTGTGTTCTTCAGATGTAACACGTGACTGTACGAAGTTGCTGCAGCATCAGGAGGTAGTTGATGTTCTTAGTAGTATTTTTCTTTTATTCATTTTACTTCTCTGTGGACGGGTTTAGTTGAGAAACGGTGTCATTCGTTTCATGAGGTGCAGCTGTGTGTTTAGTGACGAGTCAAAATCTTAGAAAGGAGGATGTTTGATGGGGCTACCACCTTACACCCCCACCATGGACTCAGATTTAAAACTAGTCAGCCTTTTGTTTTTGGGATTCCCTTCTTTTAATAAAACTGCAGCTTTGAGCTGCTGCCTTCAGAAACCAGGGAAGGAGCTGGCGAAGTGTCAGAACAAACACTACTGTGTTGTGGTCAAGTATCTCCCAGTTATGTCAGCTAGCTGATGGAAGTGATGGTGAAACTGAAACCTCATGAATCAATGAATCACTGACACAATTACTTCATGAAAGATGCTGTGAAGCACTTGACACAGTGGGAAGAGTGGCATCTGCTCATCGCAGCCGGTCAAAAAGCTTTATACTTGTATTTTATAAATATTCTGAACATGGTAAATATAGATGTATAAAAACTTGAGGAATGGGGACCATACTTGTGTTACTTTGATACGATTGTATAATACACAAGTGTTGTGCGGGATATGAGTTCACTGCTTTGAGATTGTGCTCTATCTGAGAAAAGGGCTTCCATCTTCTATATTAATGAAATAATTCATGTAATCACTATAATACAAACCAACTGTTCTGATCTACAGACTACCAAAGTAGTCAACCAAACAGCACTTGACTGTACCCATCTGTTATTAATCCTATTCTCTCATACATTTAGTGTGTTTGTATAAAAGACGGTGTGTTGCGTTTATATAAATATGTATATTATTTAGTGTTTGTAACTAAATCTATCTAAACCTAAACTACTGAGACACTCTCCCATAATTTTATTTTACCAACAAGTACAAGAATGCCGTTGAACTTCTCTCTAACAAACATCAGTTTTTACAGTAAACCTGTGAAACCGTGCCACACCTGCTGTAGTCACGTGATTTTGGACGCGCTGACCCAGAGCTCAAAACTACGGCGGCCGACAGGCGCAAACGCACAGCAAACCGTTGCATATGCTGCAAACGTTCAACCTTTATTTATACAGGTTAGTCCCATTGAGCCTCGGGGACTCATTTACAAGAGAGACCTGATTTTAACAAAGAGTGATGGACAATCATAAAAGATGTGTACAAATTATTTTTTTAACAAGTTAAAAGAAAAGGACAATCAAAAGGAAAAGTAGCGAAAAAACAGCTAGATTATAAGTCTGTAGAAAACTAAAAGCAGGAACATGTCTGCATTGGTTCTTGCCAGGAACTTAACAGATGTTTGAAGCCACTTAGAGAGGTCAAGGTCGAGAGCTTCAGATCTTTTTGTAAGATATTCCAGGAAACAGGAGCGGAGTAGGAGAAGGACCTTTCGCCTAGTTCAGTCCGCACTGAGGGAACGGTGAAACTCACTGCAAACATGTGATTGATGCAAACTTTAAAACAAAAGTAGCACATGCAACAGAAAAAATAAATGTTAAAGACTTGGTGGTCGAGTCCCTCTATTGGTCGGGTCCGTTTTGCTCAGTTGAGTTTGCAGCGTTTCTTATTTGCAGTTGATTTATTTTGGGGCAGTTTTTGGTATTTGCAGCTTTTTTCCTTTGCATTTATTTTGTTGTATGTTTTTATTTTATTTTTTGCTCTGTGATAGCAGACCATTTTTTTTTTTGCAACATTTGTTATTGAGTTTGCATCATTCATGTGTTTACAGGGTGTTTAGCTCTTTGCTGTGCATTTAGCTGCTTGCTGTGCGTTTAGCTTCTTGCTGTGT